TCATGTACAGTAGTTTCCAGGGAATTTGTACAATATCACATGTCAATATTTTGAAAGGAAGATATGTATGGTAGACTCTCTGTTAAACAGAACTCAGGCAACAAGAACTCGCAATTATTATAATACAGTAAAATCAGTTTTATTAAGTTTGTCTTTATTTGTCTTTGTTTTTAATTACTGTATTCCAATATTAATATCAAGTCAATCTAGAGGTTATGGTATTGTGTAGTATAAGGTATCAACACTATTTTTAATAGTAACTCTCAAACAATCAGAAATTAATAATAATAATTTAGTAATAATAATAGTAATAATAATAGTGATAGTAACCTATTCAACTTGTATGCAGAACACAACATGCGATGTGCAGGGCTTGATGAATGCAAGGCGGGGTTGAAAATTGCTGGAAGAAACATTAACAATCTTAGATATCCAGATGATATCACTTTGATGGCTGAAACCGAGGAGGAGCTGAGGAGCCTTCTAATCAAGATGAAAGAAGAAAGCGCAAAAGCTGGGTTGCTGCTACACATAAAAAAAACCAAGAGTATGGTAACAAGAATGATTGACAACAGGGAAATAGAGGGAGAAAACGTGGAGGCAGTGACAGACTTTGTATTTCTAGGTGCAAATATGACTGCAGACGCAGAATGCAGCCAGGAAATTAGGAGACGCTTACTTCTTGGGAGGAGAGCAATGTCCAATCGCGATAAAATAGTGGAGAGTAGAGACATCAGACTGGCAACGAAGATCCGCATAGTTAAAGCCATGGTATTCCCCATAGCCACCTACGGATGTGAGAGGTGGATCATAGGGAAGGCTGAGCGAAGGAAGAGAGACACTTTTGAACTGTGGTGCTGGAGGAAAGTTCTGGGAGTGCCTTGGACTGAGAGAAGATCCAACCAGTCCATACTCCAGGAAATAAAGCCCAACTGCTCATTGAAGGGAAGGATATTAGAGGCAAAGTTGAAGTACTTTGGCCACATCATGAGGAGACAGGAAAGCTTAGAGAAGACAATGATGCTGGGGAAAACAGAAAGAAAAAAGAAGAGGGGCCGACCAAGGGCAAGATGGATGGATGGCATCCTTGAAGTGACTGGATTGACCTTGAAGGTGGTGGGGGAGGTGATGGCCGACAGGGAGCTCTGGTGTGGGCTGGTCCATGAAGTCACGAAGAGTCGGAAACGACTAAATGAATGAACAACAACAGTAATAGTAATATACTTTATCTATATTTCGCCCTTCTCTAGGGGACTCAAGAGTGGATTACAGCATTTACATACATAGGCAAACATTTAGTGCCTTTACAATCATATACAATGAGACACAGAAACACAAACAAAGGCAGAGGCTTCTCCTTTCATTTCCGGCTTCTGGAGGCGGTGCTCATTTCGGACTCTGGGTAGGTGCTTTTCTCCATTTTCAAGCCGAGGAGCCTGTGTTGTCACCTCCTGGTTGTGTGATCAGCAAGATTGTTTGGAGCCTCTCTTTGCCTTTTCCTGTTGAATCGGTACCTATTTATCTACTCACATTTGCATGTTTTTGAACTGCTAGGTTGGCAGGAACTGGAACTGACAGATGGGAGCTCACCATGTCTTGCAGATTCAAACTGCTGACCTTCAGGTCAGCAGTTAGGCCAACCTTCAGGTCAGCAGTTCAGCAGCACAAGGGTTTAAGCCATTGTATTACTGCATTTAGCAATCCCTGGTTGGTAGATGCCAGTTAACTGAGAGTGTACTGTATTTCCCACTCCTTAAGGAGCAATGGTCATAATTTTTCTTCAGTTCTGTTGTCTATTTGTGCCAGTACAAATGGCGGGGGGAGGGGGGGGGGACTTGCTAAGCAGGAAATTTCCAGACATACAAACTCTACTTACCCTTCCTGTGATGCTAATTCCATTAAGCAGTTGCAGGATCAAAACAGTTTGGGTACACAGAGGGATTTCACACATTAAATGTTAACAGGTTGTCTTGAGAAGCGCTGCCTAATGGCACAGAGAATCAGACAGCTGTGATTGTACAGCTGTGATGTCTGTAGTAGTGTGAACCAGAACCTTTTTGTTTTGTTATGTTTTACATGTATTTCAGGTGGGCTAAGGCAATGTGTAGTTTACACTCCAATTTCTGCTGGCTGTATTTAGGAACAAGCATGTGTCTCTAATCTTGAAACCCGGTTGTTAGCTATGAGCAAACAACTTTAATCTGTTTTACAGGATTGTTTTGACAGAGGAATAAGATGATATAATGCAATGACAATAAACATATTCTGAACCTTTGTGTACAACATTAAGTATTTTTTACATCAGAATATCTAAATTTTTATTGTTGTAGGATTTTCCTTCATCTTTGGAAAGAACTCTTGGAGGGAGATTGTTAAATACCTTATTCAAGTTAAGAGCAGAGACTGAGAGAAAAGTATTTGTTCAGATCTACTTAGCCCAGGAAGCTGTTGCTAATCTAGAAACAAAACTGGAATCCAGTTCCATATCTAGGTTGATCCATAAAACCTCTGGGTTTATAAACTGTCAGGGAGGGCAAAGCACTAGCTTTATAATTTAGCAAAATATGTTTTGTGCCTTGCAGGCTAAGTGCATAATTTCTCATAACTGTTAGTGAATTGGTAGGGTTAGCTGGTTGGTTGCCATTACAGACCCTTCCATCCCTGGGTCACAGGCTCACTTCCTCGTTAAGGCTGTTGCTGCCAACAAAGTGATTAACGTCTATTTATTGGAAAGTGTTCTGACACCAACACTTTGCAATAAACTTTTGACTGTCAACTTTTTTTTATTTCCACATGGCTTCAAAACTCATTGAATGACACCTCAACCATACTTTTTAATATGTTTCCTGACTGTGAGAGCTATTCAGCAGTGGAACTCTCTGCCCCGGAGTGTGGTGGAGGCTCCTTCTTTAGAAGCTTTTAAACAGAGGCTGGATGGCCATCTGTCAGGGGTGATTTGAATGCAATATTCCTGCTTCTTGGCAGGGGGTTGGACTGGATGGTCCATGAGGTCTTTTCCAACTCTTTGATTCTATGTTTTGAAGCCAAAGATCCTAGTCTTACATTAAAAATGGGGTTTCTGGACTTTTAATAGAAACACTGTGGTTGTCTTTAGACCAGGGGTCCTCAAACTAAGGCCCGAGGGCCGGATACGGCCCTCCAAGGTCATTTACCCGGCCCTCGCTCAGGGTCAACCTCAGTCTGAAATGACTTGAAAGCACACAAAAACAACAACAACAACCTTATCTCATCAGCCAAAAGCAGGCCAACACTTCCCATTGAAATACTAATAAGTTTATATTTGTTAATATTGTTCTTCATTTTAATTATTGTATTGTTTTAAAGTGTTTTTTGCACTACAAATAAGGTATGTGCATTGTGCATAAGAATTCATTCATGTTTTTTTTTCAAATTATAATCTGGCCTTCCAGCAGTTTCAGGGACTGTGACCTGGCCCTCTGTTTAAAACGTTTGAGGACCCCTGCTTTAGGCTATTGGCATTCTGTAATATTCGCCTCTGTTCTTTTCACACATGACTCCAATGTGTAAATGACAGGGAAAGGGATCTACAATTCTCCCTTGTAAGACAGCTAGTTGTATCCAGGTCCTATCACAACAAAAATAACAACAACAACAATGGATTGTCAATGTTGTAATCCTAGGAGACAGCATAATCGATGAGAAGCAACTAGAAAAGCTTACAAAATATGATTTAAAGATCAAACTTCAAAGACTCTGGCATAAGGCAGTCAAGATGGTCCCAGTGGTGGGTACAGTGCTTAAAGACCTTGGCCTGCACTTAGAAACAACCAGCGTTGACAAAATCTCAGCTGCAAAAGGCCACCTTATTCGGATCTGCACATATTATTTGCCGATACATCACACAGTCCTAGACACTTGGGAAGTGTCTGACATGTGATTGAATACAAAAGTCAGCATAGTCGCCTCTGGGCTGAGAGGGGTGGTATGTAAATATAGTAAATAAATAAATAGTGATCTTGTTTACTGTGTACTAATCTTGTTGTGTATCAAATAATAATAAGACGCTTGGGAAGTGTTCGACTTGTGATTTTGTGATACGAAATCCAGCATATAGATCTCATTTGCTGTGGCATAGTGTGCTTTTGTGTCAATAATAATAATAATAATAATAATAATCATCATCATCATCAGCAGCAGCAGCAGCAGCTTTATTTCTAGACTGCCCTCTCTCCCTGAGGGAAGTTTCATATGCCAAAATCAAACACCAATTGTTCAGGGAAGTAGAGATCAAAGGAACTTGGATATTCATATTCGTTGCTTTGGCTTGTTATGTCCTTGTCTACATTGTGCTTCCAAAGCTTTCTGTTAATATGTGAGATTCATCTGGTAGAACCATGGAATCCAACTGAACTGGGAAGGAAATGATATGTACACAATTCTCCTTTGAGTCCCAAAACTGGCTTAAAGTTTCAAAACTGTTTTGAACAGGAGAAGAATATATGCAAACACATGCCAGTACATATACCAAGAAAGATTAATTTCTCTTAAAACTTGATGTTGATTTCTTCTTGAATTATTGAAAAAAGCAGCTAGGAAATCTAGAACAATTATTTCACACCGAATTTTAAAACTCATAAATGGGGCATGGCAGGTGTTCCAAATAATGAAGATTAAATTCAATCATCTTCCTTTTGCAGTTTGTTGTGGATTATCTTTGGAAGTATATTTTATTCCTGCCCAAATAAGTGTGGAGTGAGTTTGATTTTACAGTTACTCTTCAAGCGGTGGGATGAAAAACTGTAGCATCATAAATGTCATTATCAAGTCCTGAGGAAGTCAGTAGCAACTATATCTCCCATTTATTTATTGTGTTGAATAAATATTTTTTGATACAGTGGCACCAGAATCAAAGCTGAAGACATTCATTTTCATTTTTTTCCAGCCTGTTTTGAAAGTGCTACCTGGTGAAATATTTCTGCCCTTAATGTTCTGCTTTCTTTCTCCCCCTTTTCTTGCAGATCTAGAGTGCAATGGTGATTTAAATAATGACGACTATGAATATGAGGATGAAGCAAAGCTTGTCATATTTCCAGACCACTATGAAATTCCTTTACCCAATATAGAAGAGTTACCAGCACTGGTAAGATAAGTGTGTGTGGTTGATAAGAATAGGGTTGAAACTGGCTTGTGAGTGAGAAATTACATTGTGAGTGGCAACTAAAGAAATAAAGCATGATTTAGCTGTTCTCCTGGCTTGGAAAAGAGAAGATTGAGAAATGACATGTTATTATCGTTATTGCGGTCGCAGTGTACCTTTAAGCCATTTCCAGCTTATGATAACATGAAGGCAAACCTAGATGACTAAACTGAGACTGTCCTCCTTTGTTCATATCTTGAAAAGACACGACTCACTAGAAAAGCTACTAGAAGACAAAAGGAAGAAAGGAGGGCTTTGAAAGGTAGAAGGCAATAGGAAAAAAGAAAATCCACTTTCCAGATGGACTAAGATAGACTAAATCAGGAAAGTTGTAGCCCTGAGTCTGCAGGACCTGAGCAGGGCTATTGATGATAGAATAATTTGGAGGCTTCTCAATCATGGGGTCACCATAGCTTGAAGTTGACTTGATGGCAGTCAACAAGAACAACAATTTCTTCAGAGGAGAGTTGTCCTTGCCTTCCTCTGACTCTAGGAGAGGTTGAGTTGCTCAAGGTCACTCAGTAGGTTTACATGGCTGAATGGGGATTCAAACCCTGCTCTCTGTAGTCATAGCCCAACATTCAAAACACTATACCCCGGTGGCTCTCCAAGTGACACGATACCCATCTTTAAATATCTGAAGGGATATCATGTAGGAGATGAGGGTCAGTACTTCACGGCATTGTAGAGTGCATAGAATAGAAGCAGGCCCCATTGCATCCAGGAAAGCTGGCTCCTAGGTGAGTGTGTTTAAAACCACTATTCCAAAATCTAAACTAGTGATACTCAAGTCTTTAGTGTGGGGTGAGCAATGTAATAAAGGATTCGGATTCCAGGAGGCCAGGTTCTCATTTCTGCTCAGCCATGGAAATTCACAGGATGGTTTCAGAAAAGTTAAACTCTTTCAGCCTAAGAGCAAGGCACTGGCAAATCCCCTATGAACAAAGAGCCAAAACAGCCAAGAAAACTGCAGAGTCCACTTCAGAGTTGACATAAGTCAAAAACAACTTTTTAATATATTTATTTATATCCTGCTTTTTCCTCTCCATAAGGGACTTTCAGAGTCAAGGGGCAGCCACTGAGAAGGAAGGCCCTCTCTCTAGTTCCCACCAACTGAGTTTGAGATGGAGGTGGGACCATGAGAAGGGCCTTTCCTGAAGATCTCAGGGCCCAACATCTCAGTGCAGAACACCACAAAGCAACTGTACAGATCTCAGAGGGCTGTCCATTCTCTTGTGTTTTATCCTTAGAGGCCATTTAAGGAATACGGGGCTATTTTGCCATTTTAGAAAATCATCTGGCCATTTAGACCCAGAAGAGAACTTTTTTAAATGTAAGAAGTGACTTGAAAGGTTCTGGTTCACTGCTTGATTTCTTTTTCAAAACAGCTTCTCTTCAGGCTAAAATAGTTTTGTGGAGGAGGGGTGGGGAAAATGTGACAGAATTGCCTGCCATGGCCCTAGAAATAATTTTAAGGGGCACACAATGAATCCTGAGAACCATACAGAGGATGTATTTTTTCCAATATGTATCGGTGAACATCAGGATTTCAGGGATGATGTGTGTAGCCTACTTAGTAGTATATTATTTAGAAAAAAATGTTATATAGTGCAGTAGTCCTTAAAGCAAGCAGTCTAATATAGACTGTTGTGCCTACTATTGTTTCTTTGCTGCTTTACATCGGAGATAAGGTTCTGTTGTGTATGGATGATGCCGCTGAGCACTCCCTGTAAAAAATCTCTCACACCTTTGCTACTGAAAGCTATCCCCCCCCTCTCCGCCTTAGTGGTGATGATAGACTTCAAACTACAAGAGAGGAGATTCCATCTGAACATTAGGAAGAACTTCCTGACTGTGAGAGCCGTTCAGCAGTGGAACTCTCTGCCCCGGACGGAGTGTGGTGCAGGCTCCTTCTTTGGAAGCTTTTAAGCAGAGGCTGGATGGCCATCTGTCAGGGGTGATTTGAATGCAATATTCCTGCTTCTTGGCAGGGGGTTGGACTGGATGGCCCATGAGGTCTCTTCCAACTCTTTGATTCTATGATTCTATGATTCTAGACAAACTGCAAGGCAAGAGCCACCCAAGAACCAATTGATATAATTATTAAACGGCTCTGTTCGCCATGTTAGTCTCTTACCACAAAAACAACAATGAATTTGTGGTACCTAAACAATAACAAATTAAAACTTTAAGGTGCTCCACAATGTATTGGTGGTGGTGGTGTTAGTTAGATATCATAATAAGACAATGGAAAAGTTATGTTTGGTTTGGTTTTACATTGCTACATTGCCTTTTAGTTTCCCTTGACTTATTGTTTCTTCCTTCAGGTCACAATAGCTTGTGATGCAGTCCTTAGTGCGAAATCTCCATACAGAAAGCAAGATCCAGACTCATGGGAAGAGGAACTCCAAGTCTCCAAACATGCAAACATTCTAGTACAGATGGACAATGGAGTCAGGATCCCACCAAGGTGAGGCATTTGTGGTTTGTACTTAAGAATTACTGTACTAGAAGAGACCAAGAAAGGTGTTGGCATGTGAACGATGAACATGAATGGTGTGTGTCTGTTGGAAAGAAGAGATGTGGAGTCAACTGCTTGCTTTGGTTTTGGCATCATCTAGCAAAGGCATGTGACCTCCGTTAGTTCATGCCCTTATCCCTGGAATAGGCCACATTGAGCAAGGTGGACAACTGACTCAGGATGATGCATGTTTATATTTGGGCACATTCTTAGAAGGAGATTCTGCCAGAGCCTTCCAATGCCTTGAGTCAACTAGAGAGTTGGTTTCCTGATTTATTTCCTCCAGTTTTCCCAAAGTGTTCTGGCATTTAGTGCCAGGATGGGAAACCTGTTTCTTTCCAAATATTGGGACAATATGTCCTGTCATCACTGATCAGTAGCCAAGCTAGCTGAGGCTGATGGCAGGTGATTTCTAACAATATCTGCAGGGATATTGCCTTCTGCTGATTAAGAATAATAGTATCAGTTAACACCTCCCACCTCTTAGCCTGGGGTGTGCAAGTCTCAAATTAAGTAAGTCCTCCTAATTCCTTACAATTCCTCCTGTTTTTTATCTATGCATCAGCTATTAAGGCTCCTATGGGTAGTTACTTACATCCCTTCAGAACCCTTAACATAGCATTAATTAATTGCCCGCCTTATGCATAGCACTTTAAGGCTAATTAAATTATTCTAAAACGTGTGGTGGCATATATCGGTATATATGAACATATATCTTGTAATTTGAGCCCCTGGTGGCACAGTGGGTTAAACCGCTGAGCTGCTGAACTTGCTGACCAAAAGGTTGGTGGTTTGAATCTGAGGAGTGGGGTGAGCTCCTGCTGTTAACCCCAGCTTCTGCCAACCTAGCAGTTTGAAAATATGCAAATGTGAGTATCATAGAATCATAGAATCAAAGAGTTGGAAGAGACCTCATGGGCCATCCAGTCCAACCCCCTGCCAAGAAGCAGGAATATTGCATTGAAATCACCCCTGACAGATGGCCATCCAGCCTCTGTTTAAAAGCTTCCAAAGAAGGAGCCTCCACCACACTCCAGCAGAGAGTTCCACTGCTGAATGGCTCTCACAGTCAGGAAGTTCTTATGTTCAGATGGAATCTCCTTTCTTGTAGTTTGAAGCCATTGTTCCGCGTCCTAGTCTCCAGGGAAGCAGAAAACAAGCTTGCTCCCTCCTCCCTGTGGCTTCCTCTCACATATTTATACATGGCTATCATATATCCTCTCAGCCTTCTCTTCTTCAGGCTAAACATGCCCAGCTCCTTAAGCCGCTCCTCATAGGGCTTGTTCTCCAGACCCTTGATCATTTTAGTCGCCCTCCTCTGGACACATTCCAGCTTGTCAATATCTCTCTTCAATTGTGGTGGCCAGAATTGGACACAATATTCCAGGTGTGGTCTTACCAACACAGAATAGAGGGGTAGCATGACTTCCCTGGATCTAGACACTATGTTCCTATTGATGCAGGCCAAAATCCCATTGGCTTTTTTTGCCGCCACATCACATTGTTGGAGTAGATCAACAGGTATTGCTCTGGCGGGAAGGTAATGGTGCTCCATGCAGTCATGCCAGCCATATGACCTTGGAGGCATCTACAGACAACACCAGCTCTTCAACTTAGAAATGGAGATGAGCACCACTCCCCAGAGTCTGACACGACTAGACTTAATGTCTAGAGGAAACATTTATACCTTGTAATATACCACATTCTTCAGAAGGCTATTGTTTATTTTATAAGAGTAGCATCCGTATTCTGGAAGAATATTCAGGAAAACACTGTCTTTGTTGTGAAAAATCTTATGGCTAAAAGAAAGATATTGTGTTCTCATCTATCCATTTTGTGATTTGTGATTACTTGCACCTTTCCCCCTTTTAGTTCCCTTTCTAATGAAATATTGATTGTAAGCTTTTTGAAGCCAGTGTTTATTGGGTTTTAGTGTGTGTATGTTTTGTTTTGCTTTGTTTTGTTAAGAGGTATGTTCATTTACAGTACTTTATCAGTAATTCTTCATAAAGGACAGAAGCTTTGTAGTGCCTTTGAGTGTTGCCAATCCATATTTTGATTCCAGTCTACAAATTTAGATGCTTGCCAGTTCTGAAGCAAAACCCAGGCTTCCCAGCCAGTGCAGACAATTGAGGTCTTTCAGGTTCTTTTTTTCAGTGGCTGGAAATGTTCAAAGTGTGACTTGCGGGAGAATCTTTGGCTGAACCTTACAGACGGGTCAATACTGTGTGGGAAATGGTTCTTTGATGGCAGCGGAGGAAACGGACATGCACTGGAACACTACAAGGAGATGGGCTATCCCTTAGCGGTCAAGCTTGGAACAATTACTCCAGATGGCGCAGGTTAGTAAAAGCTGGGTTTTATTATTTTAAAAAAATTGTTTATTTCATTTAATCAAAAATATTAACAAAAGTTTTATGTCATTCAACATGTATTCTGAGATAGGACTCTAAAATTATATTTTCAAAAAGTGAATGCAAATAATGTGTTTTTACTTGCTGTCAAGTTGACTTTATCTTATGATGACTCTATGAATGAGCTGCCTTGAGTCCCATCTGGGAAAAAGGCAAGATATGAATAAATACATCATTTCCCTTTAAAATGTATGAAAAACAAGCAAGCTGCCTAAGGTTTATGCAGTGAGCCCATGGAAAAGGTATGTTTAGTTGAAACAAATTATCCTGCCCCTTTCTCTCTGCCTATACCAAACCAATTACAAATTCTGTGTCCTGGGTGTTCTCTGTCTCTTTCTTGCTCTTCCAGCTCCAACATTGGTACTTCACAACTTTGTAGATAGTTTTAGTGACATCTTTGACAAGAAAAGAGTGGCCATCATCTTTCCCCTGTAAATGGAAGAGCGGTAGATATTTCTATGCTTAGTTCAGAGTTTTCATTTGTCACTTCACTATTCCATAGATATATCTGCATCTCATTACCCTGCTTCCTATAGTTATTTGTCTTTCATAATGGTTTATAATAACAGTATTTTTCAATAGTATATGTATATGTAGAAGGATTGGCCTTTCTGAAGGCCCAGAATCCAGTTTTGGTCTCTCATGGTCTCTCTGATTTCCCTCTAAATTCATCCTTATGGCTTTTTGAGGCTCAAGCAAAACCGTTTTAAGAAGCAGGGATTGACTTGTCTCATTGCATCTCCAGCCCACACCCTATTTGGGTATCAACTGGCATGACTTAAATCAAGAAATAGTTTTCTAAGGTCTACAGAGACACTTGCTGGAACACCTCAGCAAGCAAGAGTCCAAAAGTGGCAGGCTCAAACCCAGAACCTCAATCAATGGCTGATACCAAATGAGAGACTCCCCCCTGGGCACACAGAAAACTGGGCGACTTGGAAGGCGCTGAACAAACTGCGCTCTGGCACCACAAGATGCAGAGCCAACCTTAAGAAATGGGGCCACAAAGTGGAATCCATGACATGTGAGTACGGAGAAAAGCAAACTACAGACCACCTGCTGCAATGCAACCTGAGCCCTGTTACATGCACAATGGAGGACCTTCTTATAGTAACACCAGATGCACTCCAAGATACTGGTCAAAGGACATTTAATCAACTACCAAGCTTGCAAACTTCGTGTTTTGTTTGCTTGTTTGTTAAAAATTCAATACAACTGTTTGGTTTGCTCCTGACACGATAAATAATAAATTGCCTCTTACTTCTGAGAGATAGCAAGGCTACTAGAAAAGGAAAAAAGAGAAAGCAGGAATCAGCAAAGAAATGCTGGACCACTCTAACAACTACCATGTCAGACTACACAGACAAGCCATTGAAATCCACAAGCATGTGGACAATTTCAACAGAAAGGAAGAAACCATGAAAATGAACAAAATCTGGCTACCAGTATTTTTTTAAAAAAATCTAAAATTATAACTTTAAATAAAGAACAACACTCAAACACAGGGGAACTCCAGACAAGAAACAATCAGCGACAGCTAGTCACCTCCCAACAAAGGAGTCCTCCAGGCAGTAGCAAGTCACACCTAAAAACTGTCAGGCCATCAAATGCTAAACAAGGTGGCTAATTAAAACATTCACACCTATCTCCAACAGACAAGATTTCTTTCTCGCACCCTGGTCATTCCACAGATATATAAACCCAATTTTCCTAGTTTCCAACAGATCTCACAACCTCTAAGGATGCCTGCCATAGATGCAGGAGAAACGTCAGGAGAGAATGCTTCTAGAACATAGCCATGCAGCCTGAAAAATCTACAACAACCCAATCAAGGAGTTATTCTTTGTTGATATTTTACCTGGCAAAAACCTGAATGGTTGGGCAGAGATTTGAACTTTGGGTTTTCTCAATCCCAGACGAATGTTTTGTGACTGGTGGCTGTGCACTGCGAACGTTGTCAGAAAACACACAAACCTACCAGATGGACACTCAACTCCACTGGGAAAGGAAAAAGGAGAATTCGTTTGACAGACCAGTGGTGTGCTGGGATTTTCATTCATATAGGCACAAACATATTTTTTCCTTTTGGAAAGCTGCCTGATGGAAACATGTATATCCTACTCCATCCCATTTTAGCTCTCTGAACAGCATCACAATGGGGCTTGGCTTGGCCAGGCCATATCCCTGCAGTGCTGCAAATTTAGCACAAAAGGCTTTGCAGACCCCTTTAGCTCAGCCGTGTTTGTCACGCAGCTCCCAAGAGCCTTGTGGCTCAGCTGGCAAGCCTCTCAGGCTCATCTCTTCATCTTTCATTCTTTTACCATAGAATTAATGCTGCGTCAGGAAACAAATAAATCATCTGAACTTCTGGCTGCAGCCAAAAAGAGCAGAGTGGCCTCTGTCATTGTTAATAGTTTTTCCACTAAGGGCATGGGGACAAAATTTATTGGAGGGAGGGAGGCTAATGAGGCTTATGTACCCATTGAGTTGCACGTTTAACACACTGCTCTGAAGAGTTTCCATCTGGCCAGGAAGGAATCGAAAAAGTGTACGACTTGAGGTTCCTTGTATAATATTTTGGCCACAGTAGGCTATTAAGAGGTAGTATATTATACTGGGTCTGTATAGAGGATTTGATGAAGATGTTAATGATGCATGCAGAATGTTTTAGAGCTTTAGATTACTTGATTATCTTAGCAAATAACTGCTACTTACTTTAATAGTGTGTTTCATCTCTATTTTAATAGGAAGCATTTCGATAATCTTAATGCTTTCTTATTTTGGCTCCATTGGGATTCATTTAGTATCAAAATGCCTTGAATAATAAGCCGAAGATGAAACCAGCTTGCAGTCGTTCTACTGAGAGATTCCCTTTTATTCTTAACTTTTTCACTGAATGGAGAAATTGTGTAGTTTGCATGTTTTTTTGTTTTGTTTCGTGTCATGAACAACTTGAGAAACTGCAAGTCACTTCTGGTGTGAGAGAATTGGCCGTCTGCAAAGACGTTGCCTAGGGGACACCCAGATGTTTTACCCTCCTGTGGGAGGCCTCTCTCATGTTCCCTCATGGGAAGCTGGAGCTGACAGCTAGGAGCTTACCCCACTCCTTGGATTCGAATTGACAACCTTTCAGTCAGCAGTCCAGTTGGTACAAGGGTTTGACCCATTATGCCACCGGGAGCTCCTAGATTGTGTGGTAATAGGTCCTTCTCTACTTATGCCGGACTCTCTTTCTTCACTAGAGATTTTCAAATTCCAATCTTGTGTTTCATTATTGATGCATTATTGATCCACCTGACATCTGCAGGGAAGTAGCAGCCAATAGTGAAAGGACCAAGCAGCCAATAGTGAAAGGACATCTCCAGCTCATCCCTTGTTTGGGTATCAGCCAGCACGTCAACTGACTTAAATCTAGAAATAGTTTTCTAAGATCTACAGAGACACTCGCTGGAACACCTCAGCAAGCGAGAGTCCAAAAGTGGCAGGCTCAAACCCAGAACCTCAACCAATGGCTGATACCAATGAGAGACTCCCCCCTGGGCACACAGAAAACTGGGCGACTTGGAAGGCGCTGAACAGACTGCGCTCTGGCACCACGAGATGCAGAGCCAATCTTAAGAAATGGGGCTACAAAGTGGAATCCACGATATGCGAGTGTGGAGAAGAGCAAACCACTGACCACCTACTGCAATGCAACCTGAGCCCAGCCACATGCACAATGGAGGACCTTCTTGCAGCAACACCAGAGGCACTCCAAGTGGCCAGATACTGGTCAAAGGACATTTAATCAACTACCAAGTTTGCAAAATTTGTGTTTTTTTTCTCTGTTTGTTTTGTTCTGTTAGAAATGTAATACAATGGTATGGTTGCTGATGACACGATAAATAAAATAAAATAAACAAATAAATTGATGCAATTAAGCTTACAGCTCAATAGACTGCATGCATATATTGAACCCATTAATTTTTTAAAGCTTTTCTAAGTCAAGATATACTCAAAAGTGATTTGCCGTGTCTTTCCTCCGAATTATACTGTATAGCAGCTGGTATTCCTTGGCAGTCTCCCATTCACATGTTAACCACACTTGATATGTGTAACAAAATCAAACTAAATTAATTAATTTAGTGCCATGCCTTTCCTTCGGGAAGTACAGAATGGTGTTCCCGTGATTCCTTTCCCCTTTGCCCTAATTTGAGGTAATCATTCATAAATAGAACCACAAAGGCACCCAATGGAGTTTTGCAATTGATCTTGATCTTACAACTTGATCTTGATTGTGCTTCAAAGGGCCCTTCCACACTAGACAAAATGCAAGTGAAACCGGTCTTTTAAACACCGCATTATAGGGCAGTGTAGATGAGATCTATGTCTTATGGTTGCTGTTCTCTTCATTACACTGATCCCCATATTTGCAGGCACTGTTTGTTTTTCTTTCTGGTCAGACATCCATTATTGGTAAAGGCCCATTTAAGGTCTCTCCACTAAACAGAGAGAGTTGTTACAGGTATTGAGCTTGCATTGTGACTTAACTAGGAAAACATGAGAACTCCCTGAGCTCATCTTTATAGAGAGGAACAATAATACATTATAGGAAACAGAGGCTCCCTTAATATGGCATGCCACTAGAAGGGCACATTGTGTATCTATAAATGCCAGCTGGGTCATCCTTGCTGGACCGGGGAAGAGAGAATGCTTTTCTTGGCGGAGGAAATGAAAAAAGCCATTTCAGAATCAAGCAAATCAATTGCCTTAATTAAGTAGCTATGTAGCATAAAAAGGAAGAAGGGAAAGGAAGGGGGTGAGGGAGGACAGTGCTTGCACCTTTAAGACTAGCTTGCTTTTATTATACCTTGCCTTCAAGTCGTATCTGATTTATGGAAACCCTAAGGTGATCATATCACAGGGGTTTCTGGGGCTGGGAGGGAGTGACTTTCTTAGGTCACCCAATGAGTTTCATGACTGAATGGGGACCTAAACATTTGCCTCCAAAGTTGTAATCCAACACTCAAACAATTACGCTATATTTGTTTTATGCAAGATTATAAAAGGACACAGACCTGGTATTAGAAATGGAAACACCCAAAAACCAATTGCAGAACATTTCAATCTTCTTGAATATACAGTGCAGGATTGATAGCTTGTGGTCCTTGAACAACAAAATTACAAAGGAACTAGAAAGGGAAACTGTTGAATTGAATTATAGTCACAAATTCCAATCCATTAGCAAAAGAATGAACAAATCCTCTTGCTGCTTCTCAGAGAGATGTTTGATAAACAGTTATTACTCTCACACATTAACAATAAATAAAGAATAACACTCAAAATATCAGATTGTTTTTATTGTATTGAAATTGTATTTTATGGTTTTGGCACCAATTGTAAACCGCCCCGAGTCACCTGCGGGCTGAGAGGGATGGTATATAAATATAGTAAAAAGTAAATAAATAAAAACAGGGGAAATCCAGACAAGAAGCAATTATGGTCAGCTAATCACCTCCCAACAAAGGATCCCCCCCCCCCCCCGGGCAGTAAGAAGTCACACCTTGAAACTACTAGGCCATTAAATGCTAATCAAAGTGGCCAATTGAAACATTCACACCTACCTCGAACAGACAAGAATTCTTTCTCCCACCCTGGACATTCCACAGATATCTGTTGGCATTCCACATATTCCTAGTTTCCAACAGACCTCACAACCTCTGAGGATGCTTGCTATAGATGCAGGCAAAACAAATCAGGAGAGAATACTTCTGGAACATGGCCATACAGCCCAGAAAACTCACAGCAACTGACCACTATAAAGATCTGAAAGACTCATCTCCCAAGCCATTGAAGCATTAAAGGAAGGAACATGATTTACAACTCCTGCTGTATTCTACTCCACTCCTGCAGCTGTATAAATATGCTGTATAACCTGCACCTTTAGAAGTAGGTTTATATTCACAAAAACTCATGCTAAAACCAAAACAATTTCTTTTCTCTCTCTTTCCCTTCCTCCTTTTTAACTTTCTTATAAGGAGTGCAGATCTTTCCAACAATGTGTTGCCATCCCAAATCCTGATTAAAGGAAGCTGCATTCCTTCTAGGTCAGCTGGGTCATCCTTGCTGGACAGGTGCAGAATTTTACAGGAGAGGATGATATCCAAAGTTTTACCATTAATGAAACACCATTGTGAAATGTAGTGTTACATGGTTGCTTTCCCTTAAAATACCAACTATTTTGATTCCTATGGCAATCTTCTCTGTATTGGTTAGGATCAAGTCCAGGATTTCTAGCCTCCTTGTTTCTTTCTTTATCTTTTGAGATAAGAAATTATCTGCATGGCAAGGCAAGGTCTTTCATTTAATGTTAGTTCATTGTGTTGACTTCTGGGAGTTATATTCCAAAAGTTCCTTTCCCATGCTCTGCACCAGAATGTGCTTATAATGAGTTATACCATTGGTTCAGTATTGTCTATTCCAATTGGCAGCGTCTTTGCTGAGTCGAAGGCAGAGGTCTTTCATATCACAAGCTCTTTGACCCCTTGTTCTTCTTCTTGGTCTGCCTTGAAGTCATTTCTGACTTATTGTAACTTTAAGCGGGAGCTATTATACAAATATCTTGGCAGAATTTATTCAGAGGGGCCTGCCCTTGCATTCTTCTCATGCAGAGAGTGTGTGATTAGCCCAGTTTACCCAGTTGGTTTCCATGACCAAGCTTGAATTCCAACCCTAGTGTCCTAGTTCAACACTCAAACCACAACACACACACTATCTCTCTGATCACTTCCCCCTTTTAAAGCTGGACATACAAGATTTGAACTGAAATTTCCTGCTTGAGAAATATATACACTATTGTGGGGTCACAGCCATGAGGGCAAGGCCAGATGTGCTTCTCTGTTCCTCCTAGTTGTGCGTGATTCAATCTGGGAAGAGTGGGATGAAGCCATGGAAAATTAGTTCCCATTGCTACTGTTGGAATATGTAAAGGAGGTTGCCAGTGTAACAGTGTAAGTCTAGAGAAGTTCATAGTCAACACATTGTATTGAATTGCTGTATTAACTTAGTATATAATTTATAAGCAATTGCAGTGAAATTATTATTACTCACTGTGCTATGTAGGTGGTTTCAGAGAATGTTGTTTTAAATAATGTTGGTGTGTAACATTCCCCTTTGTACTTATTTCTACAGATGTTTATTCCTTTGATGAAGAGGAGGCAGTTTTGGACCCACACATAGCCAAACACTTAGCACATTTTGGAATTGATATGCTGCAAATGCATGTAGTAAGTGGCTTGCTTTTGATTTGGAATCTCTCTTGAGCAATTTTAGAAAAGAGGAAAATTCATGCCTATTCATGGGGAAATGTACTTTCTACTTGCTGGAAATATTTAACCATGGTTATTTATTTTAATGGTATACAATTTATTCTCCAGGTTATTTTCTCCTACTACAAGATATTAGGCAATATAATAAAACGGCAGTAGGCTGGATAAATTATGCTTTAAGCATGAACGAGAGGCCCTCCACTTTGTGGGAGTTAGAGGCAGAGGACCCCCACGAAAAGTTGAAGCCCTAAGTAGATAAATTGCAAATAAAATTATATATGTAAGTAGGTGTTCTCTCTACGAATTTCTGGGTCTTCCATCATGGCCCTATGGCCAGCATCCAGACATTTCTAGGTCTTTCATCATGACTCTATGGTCGGCATCCAGGCACTGATAACCAGCTACAGTAGTCATTCCTCTGCAAATGTGAGGCTTAGGCTGAGAAATAATAAGTTGCTTAGGGCCACCCAGTAAATTCCTGGCCCAGAGAGTTAAAGAGTACATCGGATTAATTGACCATGGAACAACAGACTGGTTCAAGATTGGGAAAGGCATATGGCAGTGAGAGTATACTCTCACCCAACCTATTCAACTTGTATGCAGAACAAATCATGGGATGTGCAGGGCTTGATGAATCCAAGGCTGGAGTTAAAATTGCTGGAAGAAATATTAACAATCTTAGATATGCAGATGATACCACTTTAATGGCCAAAAGCGAGGAGGTGCCGAGGAGCCTTCTAACCAAGGTGAAAGAAGAAAGTGCAAAAGCTGGGTTGCAGTTAAACATAAAAAACCCAAGATTATGGCAACTGGTCTGATCGATAACTGGCAAATAGAGGGAGAAAATGAGATGGCAGTGACAGACTTTGTATTTCTAGGTGCAAAGATTACTGCAGACACAAACTKCAGTTAGGAAATCAGAAGACACTTACTTCTTGGGAGGAGAGCAATGACCAATCTCRATMMAATASTGAAGAGTRGAGACATCACAACTGGYAACSAAGRTCCACATAGTTAAAGCAATGGYATTCCCCATAGTAACCTATGGATGKGAGAGCTGGACCATAAGGAAGGCTGAGYRAAGGAAGATASACRCTTTTGAACTGTGGTKYTGGAGGAAAATTMTGAGAGTGCCTTGGACCAYGAGAAGATCMAACYAGTCCATACTYYAGRAAATAAARCCCAACTGCTCATTGGAGGGAAGGATATYARAGGCAAAGATGAAGTACTTTGGCCACATAATGAGAAGACAGGAAAGCTTGGAGAAGACAATRATGCTAGGGAAAATGGAAGGGAAAAGGAAGACAGGTTGACCAARGGCAAGAAGGATGGATGGTATCCTTGAAGTGACTGGCTTGTCTCTGAAGGTGCTGGGTGTGGTGACAGCTGATAGGGAGCTCTGGTGTGGGCTGGTCCATGAAGTCACAAAGAGTCGGAAGCGACTGAACGAATAAACAACAACTGATGCATTGCTCAGCTTATAATGAGGCCTTTACTCGTAAATCCTTGCCACAAATTTTAATTAACTACTCATAAAGAAAGTAGGACCTCCTTGTGGTGGCAGTGGTGATAATCTGTCCTGGAGCTGTGAAGTGTGATTAAGCTGTGAGCATCTCTTGCTTTATACAGTTTCTGGGATAATTCAGCAGGGGGAGACATGATTATATTTGTGGTTTGGCGGTTTTAATATAATGCTATTTTTAATGTTCAAGGGTGAACGTTTGTTTTGAAAATCCTGCTCCTATGTATCAAACAAGATTTGCTTTTTCTTTTTTTAAATGTCCTTGATTTGTAAGTTCTTCCAATATGACCTTGCAAAGTACAGTTTCATTAAAGCCTCTCTTGCATTCAGATAGAAAACGGTCTGAGAGATAATGATATAAAACCCAGAGTCTCCGAATGGGAAGTGATCCAAGAATCCGGCATGAAGCTAAAGCCAATGTTTGGTCCTGGGTACACTGGCATGAAAAACCTGGGCAACAGCTGCTATATCAACAGTGTCCTCCAGGCGCTTTTCAACATCCCTGAATTTCAGAGAGCGTAAGTTGTTCCAGGAGAGTTTTGTTGTCACTAAGCTGATGCCAAGCCTTTGCTTCGATAAATAAGCCATGTGGCTGCCAGCCTATGTGAGGGTAAAGTGACATTTGAATTATTTACTCTTCAGCTGTGAGCGACATTTACTTTTTTCTGACAGAAAATTTGCAGTTAAGGCTGGATCTACACTACCATATAATCCGGTTTCTGAATCCAGGTTATCTTCTTTGAATTGAGTCTACATTGGATTCAGAAACTGGATTATATGGCAGTGTAGATCCAGCCTTAGATGAGGTTCATGCATTGCATGGTGTCAAAATAACACCTTGGAAATGTTGGCTGGCATTCTGTTCAATATTTATTAAAATTGTAAGATGTGTTTACTGCCTTGTAACATTTTGGGATCCAAATTTTTGGACATTAATGACTAACAGTGATTGCAGAAACACACCTCTTAAGACAAATAGCACCTTAAGGGTACAGATTGTTGTTGTTGTTGTTGTTGTTGCTGTTCTTCTTCTTCTTCTTCTTCTTCTTCTTCTTCTTCTTCTTCTTCTTCTTCTTCTTCTTCTTCTTCTTCCTGTTCTTCTTCTTGTTGTTGTTGTTGTTGTTATTATTATTATTATTATTATTATTCTTATTATTATTACAGTAGTACAGTATACTCTGGTTTCTCTTCAGATCAGATTGTTACAGTAGAGTCCCGCTTATCCAACATAAATGGGTCGGCAGAATGTTGGATAAGCAAAAATATTGGATAATAAGGAGGGATTAAGGAAAAGCTCATTAAACGTCAAATTACGTTATGATTTTACAAATTAAGCACCAAAACATCATGATTTACAACAAAGCAACAGAAAAAGCAGATCAATACATGGTAACATTATGTAGTAATGACTGTATTTACAAAATTAACACCAAAACATCACAATGTTTTGAAACAGTTATGGATCCAGGCAGGAGGCAGACTGTGCTGGATAATGCAGAAGGTTGGATGAGTGAAGGTTGGATAAAAGAGACTCCACTGTATTATTGTATTTATACCCCGCTTTATCTCCCTCGAAAGGGACTCAAAGCAGCATAACATAAAAAGTTAGCACAGCATTTAAAATATACAACTATACAAATGTTAAAACAGAATTAAATCTCAGAAATTCTATGTAGCTACATCTGAAAGTTTAGGATCTTGGCCATTATTCTAGACTACAGGCATATATTATTCAAACTCCAGTGTTTATGTTCAACGTGGATCTGAAGTTATTTGGAATTTCTTGACAAGCCTTCCAAGTTGTTTTGGGGTGTGTGTGTGTGTGTGTGTTTTTTTTTGGAAAAGAGAATGTTACATTCTTTCTTTATTTTATTTTTTAAAGTGTACACCTGAAAAGCATAATTTATGAAATGATATTAATAGATACAGATTCAATCAGTATTTTTGAAATATCTTGAAACAGCTCCCTTCTTGAAAGACTCTTCCTCCTCAATTTGCCCCCATAGTTCTTTAAGAGGAAACTTAGTGCTAATGTAGCCCTGTGATCTGCTAATCCTTTTACATCAGATTGGAGCATCTTGTCTAGTTCTAAAAGAGACAGGATCTGTTTCGGTTTGCTGATTATAGAAAAGGTGCTCCCTCCAAGATTGACTAAATGGATAGTTTTGTGATCAGTGCAGAATGATGTTCTTTTATTTGTTACGTCATATGCAAGACATAAGTAACTTCTGTATATCCTAAGATAGTCTTCTCCCAAAACAAAATGATGTAAACATAAAACTGTAATATTTGGATACTTATTCTCTTCCTCTCCTTCATCCACTGTTCTCCCTGGATAGGTATGTGGGAAATCTTCCAAGAATATTTGATTACTCACCTCTGGACCCAACACAGGATTTCAATACACAGATGTAAGTAGCCAATGTGTGTTAAGACGAGGTTGACTCAGATTTTTCTGGACTGTGTGTCTCTTCCCTGTTGTTTATTCCTTTTGTTTTGGAAGGTTGATGATGCTTCTAGACAAAACTGAGTTTTCTCCTTTACTTTGGAGGAGTGAACAAATTTCTTTTGAAATTAGCTTATTGGAAAATTTGTAATGACCAGTGTTTTTAGATTTGTCTCGCCTGATGGCTTTGATTATATCTTTATCAAGACTGAATTGATTATTTGCTGACCTTTGAGCCAGTAATTGTTGTGTTATCTTATTATTTTGCTTTCAATCATGTTTTGGAATCATGTTCAAGAATGTTTTGATTGTATTCCATTTTCATTTATTATTGTGCATTGCTATGGAGTTTGTCCAGAATTTCATATGTATAGCTTATTATCCAGAAGAAATTTTTCCCGTAGTCCTGACTCAGTACTAGAAAACTGACTGTGAAATAGGGATGAACATCTTTGTAAAACATTTTTTCTCTGCTAGATGAACTTGAAAACCCAAGATAAAATAAGACAGAATGTGGGAAGTGTGGGAGTGAGGACTGGGTACTGTAGTGGTTCAGCCTGCAATTGTTTCAATGCTTGAGGTTTCAGTGTCAAATGATCAAAATCCTGCAGACTCACAGGGGTCTGGGAATGGGGATTTTAGACAGGAGAGTGTTGTTAGCCATGATGTAGCTGAGGATTCTGGGATGGTCAAGCCTGCATTAGATGTGCTGTACAGACAGAGAAAGAGTCTGGTTTGCAAGGCAGTCAAGGTCGGAATGTGAAAGGAATGCAGTAATTGGTGATTCGAGGGAGGACGAGGCATATCTGTCCTCCCTCGATCTGACGGAATCAGATCTGTCAACAAAGACATCTGGAAGGAGGCAGAAAGCACTCACAAAGAGTAATGGAAAAAAGGGGTACTCCTGAGGTTTCCCATGGGGAAAAGCATGCCTTTTTGACTATATATAAGGGCACCTGAGACTGTGATTTTCAGAGGAACCAACGTTTTGTTTGGAGAGCAATTCCTGTCTTGTTTCTTGTGTCTTGGATCAACATTTATGTGATTATTCCTGTAACTTTTCATGTCTTGGATTCTGTGCTCAAGTTGTTCCTGTATTTTCATGGGTCTTTGATTTTGTATTCCTGGATTTTTTTGGGCTCACAGACTCTTGTTACTTTTTGATCTTGCCTTGGGTTTTGGACATTCTGGTTTCCAGAACTTGATGTTTGGATTATTGCCTTTCATGGTTAAGTGACTATTTTTATGGACAACAGGCAGGACAGAGGTGTGGGAAGGGATGTAAGAAACGCTGAATGGAATTGAGTTTTTTCTTTAAAAAAATTATCATGTCAGAAGTGAATTGAGACTATACTGCAAGTAACTTCAGGTGTGAGAGAACTTGTCGTCTCCAAGGACGTTGCCCAGAGAACATCTGGATGTGTTACCATCCTGTGAAAAGCTTCTCTCAGTCCCAGCATGAGAATCTGGGGCTGACAGACAGGAGCTCACCCCATCTCGAAGTTTCAAACCATCAACCTTAAGGTCTTCAGCAGGGAAAGGAGGCAAGAAAGCCTGTAGGACTCAGTGGATGCACCCTCTGCCTCCCTGGGTCCCTGCCACTCCTTCCAAACACTACACCCAGCACGCTCATGTGTTGTGATGCACAATTCGGAAAGTTCTGAGCTCCGAACTCTAACTCTAACCTGCTTTGGGAAGAAATTGAGAGTGATTACTGATATTAAGGATATTACTGTGAATACTTTAGAAAAAAATGTGCAGGAGATTCCATCTGAACATTAGGAAGAACTTCCTGACTGTGAGAGCCGTTCAGTAGTGGAACTCTCTGCCCTTGAGTGAGGTGGAGGCTCCTTCTTTGGAAGCTTTTAAACAGAGGCTAGATGATCATCTGTCAGGGGTGCTTTGAATGCAATATTCCTGCTTCTTGGCAGGGGGTTGGACTGGATGGCCCATGAGGTCTCTTCCAACTCTTTGATTCTATGATTAATTAAGAAAACATTGACTCATGAGTCCCTTCCTTAAAATGTTTCGAGAGTGCTACAATTACAGTTCATAACAAACAGTTACTGTCTCCTAGTCAGCTAGTGTTGGGATATTTTTAGGCTCTTTTGAAATACAATGGGGAGGAATACCTAATTGAGTGTACATGATGTGTATTAGTAGACAGAGCAGTTTAACCTTAACCTCAACCTTCTCATTTTCCCTCTCTCTCTCTGAACATAGTGATAATGTTTTGTCTGCTTTCTCTCTGTGTTCCTATCCCCCACCCACTTTATACTGCAGGGCTAAATTGGGACATGGTCTCCTTTCAGGCCAGTATTCTAAACCGCCAATGAAAGCTGAGATCATTGAACAGGTGATAAAAGAAGAACTGAAGGTATGTGACCCAGAATTTGCTTCCTGAGAACTAAGTAGAGGTGGTGCCCTGAGAAAAGAGAATAGGTTTGAAGGCATATTCCAGCCAGATAGTTGGGGATCAGCCATTCATTTCCCTTATCATTTTCTGAGATTATTTTGTTGTTCTTCTAGAATGCTGTTAGCCTGATAGCAGATTATTGAATATATTCGTGTATAAGTCTAGAAATTTTAGTCTCACAATCAAACTGAAAACTTGGGTTAAACTTATCCATGAATCAATGTAAGTACAATCCATGGTGCTTTCCTCTCTCATACAATTACCCTCAGTTGATCCACAGGTCATATAAAACTCCATCATGTTGTCCTCAAAACCAATCTTCAACTTATACATGTGTATATATGGAGGCTCCAGTGGTGCAGTAGGTTAAACAGCTGAGCTGCTGAACTTGTTTATCGAAAGGTCGCAGGTTCGAATCTGGGGAGTGGGGTGAGCTCCAACTGTTAGCCCCAGCTTCTGCCAACCTAGCAGTTCGAAAACATGCAAATACGAGTAGTGCAATAGGTACCACTCCAGCAGGAAGGTAATGGCGCTCCATACAGTCATGCTGGCCACATGACCTTGGAGGTGTCTACGGACAACACCAGCTGTTTGGCTTAGAAATGGAGATGAACACCAAACCCCAGAGCTGGACACGACTGGACTTAATGTTAGGGCAGTGGTTCTCAACCTGGGGTCCCCAGATGTTTTTGGCCTTCAACTTCCAGAAATCCTAACAGCTGGTAAACTGGCTGGGATTTCTGGGAGTTGTAGGCCAAAACACCTGGGGACTCACAGATTGAGAACCACTGTGTTAGGGGAAAACCTTTACCTTACCTGTATGCCAAGCATGGGCCTACTTTGGCTCTCCAAGTGTTTTGGACTTCAACTCCCACAATTCCTAACAGCCCCCAGGCCTGAGGCTGTTAGGAATTGTGGGAGTTGAAGTCCAAAACACCTGGAGAGAGGGCCCACGTTTGCCCATTCCTGGTATATACAGTAATGCTCCTATGATGTTGGTTGAATTGCGGGTTTGGGGTAGAATGGTTGGTAAAGAATACTCCTCCTTTTTATCTCTTATTAACTGTTGTGATTAAAATTAAATCCTATTTAAGTCAAAACAAAAATAATAGTTTGGTTTAATTAAGGCTCAGTCGTTAAGGCTGATCTCACTTGAACTGAGCTCCATCTTATCCTACCAAAAATTAATGTATTTGCTATGCATAGCCCATACCACTACAAACTTGGGACCACTAAATGGTTCAGTGTGGAAGAAATTCCCAGAAGTATACAATCTGGAAACGATTGTTGTACCTAAAGAGCAACCCAGTGCTTCAAGCAAAGCAGATCTACAAGCCTCATAACATGTTAAAATATGCCCTTAATTAAATAAAGCAAAGAAATAACAACAAGGGAGACAACACAGATTTTTCTTTGGTGTCTGTTGGCGATATTTTCTTCTTTAGGAAGCAGATTCTGTAGCATTCTGGAAACAATATACATGCTTCCCTAGGCCAGGAATTAAAAATATTGAGATATTATTCACCTACTACACTGCTGTCTGATACGATTCAGCTTTTGCCTAGTAAGCATTTGTGTGGCAGTCAGTCTTTTTTACTGTAAAATCTATGATGGAGACCCCTCCTCGCAAGGTTCTCCCTGTCATATAATGTATTTGAGAAGGAAAGGTCATAGTGTAATGGATACTAGAGATGCCGTAGCTGGGGAAGAATTTTCTTCCTGGAAGAACTACTGAGAGTAAATATAAGGATATATTTATAGTAGGGCTCCAATTTTAATCAGTAGGTTAATCAGCTAAACATTGAATTGAGTAATCAGTCAAGGCCAATTTTAGTCAGCTAAGGAAAGCAATTATTGCTTAAACCATTGTTTCTTAACCTTCCAAATGTTGCGACTCCTTAATACAGTTCCTCATGTTGTGGGGACCCCAACCATAACATTATTTTTGTTGCTGCTTCATAACCGTAATTTTCTACTCTTATGAATTGTAATGTAAATAACTGATATGTACAATGTATTTTATTAACTGGACATTTGGCACAAATACCCAATTTGCCCAAATTTGAATATTGGTGGGGTGGGGTAGGGGGATTGATTTTGTCATTTGGGAGTTGTAGTTGCTGAGATTTATTGTTAACTTACAATCAAAGAGCATTCTGAACTCCACCAATGATGAAATTGGCCCAAACTTGGTATACAAAACTCCTATGACCAACAGAAAATACTGGAAAGGTTTCGTGAGCATTGACCTTGAGTTTTGGAATTGTTCACCTACATCCAGAGAGCACTGTGGACTCAAATGATAATCTGGACCAAACTTGACGCAGATACTCATTAGGCCCAAATGTGAACACTGGCAGAGTTTGGGGGAAATAGACCTTCACATTTAGGAGTTGTAGTTGCTGGGATTTATAGTTCATCTACAATCAAAGAGCATTCTGAACCCTGCCAATGACAGAATTGGGCCAAACTTCTCACACAGAATCCCCATGCCTTGAAGTGACTCACTGGCGCAATCCACCCTCCAGCCTCGCATGCTGTCCTTCGCCTGCACATGAACACCATGCTGCCATGCGCCAAGCACATCTGCTTTCCCCTTCCCCACTTGGAGTCTCAGAAACAGCCTCCCCCCTTGGCTGACAGGCCAACCAATCACAGCAGAGGAGGGCTTTTGGTGGGAGGATTTACTGTCTGTTTCCAAAAAGGAAGAGAAGAACAGACGGAGAGATCTTCAACCTTCTCTGCCAAAGGGGTTCCTAAGACCATAAGAAATATATGTTTCGTTTTCTGATAGTCTTTGGCGACCCCTCTGAAACCCCCTCACAACCCCCCTCCTAGGGGTCCCGACCCCCAGGTTGAGAAACACTGGCCTAGACCAAGATGTGTTGGTAGTGGGGCGGATAATGTGTTGAGGTGTAGAAATGGACCATCTGCTCAGGAAATGTGAAGGTTTTAGGAAGGATGCTGAGCAAGAAGCCTCCAGCGGATGTTGGTAATGAACTACACTATGATTTACACGTTTTTCTTACCATTCTTTTTTAATCTGGGAAGTTGAGGCTTTCTGTTCATTTTCCCACTTGTTATTCCTTGTGAGGTGTGACCTTCATTCATCTCCCCCAAATACCACTTCCTGGTTTTTAAAAGCAAAACTCCAGGCCTTGCAAGGTGCTTGTGGCTTCTACTCAGGGCTGTACAGGGATTTGAGCCTGAACTGGTCTCTGTAAGCCTCCCATAAGCCTCCCATATAATATCTGGGAGCAAATTACTGTAGCTATGTACGCCTAGAGCAGTGGTTCTCAACCTGTGGGTCCCCAGATGTTTTTGGCCTTCAACTCCCAGAAATCCTAATAGCTGGTAAACTGGCTAGGATTTCTGGGAGTTGTAGGCCAAAAACATCTGGGGATCCCAGGTTGAGAACCACTGGCCTAGAGTGTTCTAGCAGGCACAGAATATTTTGGACCAAGTTTCTCCCTGGAATTATATCAGCAGCACTTCTTTGAGGATCACTCATTTGAAGAACGGAGCCCTCAGTGGTGCAATGGGTTAAACCCTTTTGATGGCAGGACTGCTGACCGAAATATCTGCAGTTCGAATCCAGGGTGAAGAGTGAGCTCCCTGGATTCGACTGTCAGCTCCAGCTTCTCATGTGGGGACATGAGAGAAGCCTCCTACAGGATGGCAAAACATCCAGGTGTCCCCTGGACAACATCCTTGTAGACAGCCAATTCTCTCACACCAGAAGCGACTAGCAGTTTCTCAAAAAATTAAAAGATAGTGTCCTTATTTTTCATACCAACATGGCATCAATAAAGAAAAACATCCCAGGCAAAAATAGACAAAAGTAAACAAAAATCAATGCTTTTTTTAAAGATTTTTTTTTGGGCTTCCTGTAACTCTCTCAGGGATTTCACAGTTTGCCCCACTTATGGTAACAGCTTTTCAAAGAACTGTCCCATTGGGAAACTAAAGCCCCTTCTACACTGCCATATAATCCAGTTTATCAAAGCAGGTAACCTACAATATCTGCTTTGAACTGGATTATCTGAGTCTACACTGCCATATAATCCAGTTCAAAGCAGATAATCTGGATTTTATATAGCTGTGTAGAAGAGGCCCTTCTCTCATTTCTCTGCCTTCTCAGACCCCTTTTACACTCCCATATAATCTGTGTAGAAGGGGCCTTAGTTCGAGCCCAGTTTTGCCAAAACCACATTGGGTGTCTATTTTTCACCTTTAGCTTTCCACTTTGTAATGGAGACAGTCATGGTAATGAACATCTATTCCCCTCCCATTCTAATATCTTGCGAAGTATACAAAATTGACTCTTTTTGAGTAGATCTGTATAAGTGTGTGTGTGTGTGTATATATATATATATGAAAAATATAAATTATGAACAGAAATAATATATATTATTTCTATTCATAATTTATATTTCTCATTTTAATATATATATATACACACACACACACTTATACAGATCTACTCAAAAAGAGTCAATTTTGTATACTTTGCAAGATAAACACTGAGCAGCATTCTGTGGACACAGATACTAAAAGACAATTGAGTTATGGATGGATGGGAATTTCTCAAGAGTGAAATACTCAAGGAGCAATTGCAAACCGTGCCAACAAAGAGAAAAAATAGGACGAGTGCAAAGAAGCCAGAATGGATGTCCAAAGAACTTCTAACTGAGCTAAGACACAAAAGAGACATGCACAAGAAGTGGAAAAAGGGAGAAATCACCAAAGAAGAATTCAAACAAATAGCCAACACCTGTAGGGAAAAGGTCCGCAAGGCTAAAGCAAAAACGAGCTCAGACTTGCCAGGGACATTAAAAACAATAAAAAGGGCTTCTATTCTTATGTCAATAGAAAAAGGAAAAACAAGGAGGCGATAGGACCTCTTCGAGGAGAAGATGGGGCAATGCTGACAGGGGATAGGGAAAAGGCAGAACTACTTAATGCCTTCTTTGCCTCGGTCTTCTCACAAAAAGAGAGTCTTCAACCTCAGCAAGATGGAGTGCATGAGGGATTGGAGGACATCCAACCCCAAATTGGGAAAGAAGTCGTCCAGGAATACCTGGCCGCTCTTAATGAGTTCAAGTCCCCAGGGCCAGATCAACTACACCCCAGAGTATTGAAGGAACTAGCGGAAGTCATTTCGGAACCATTGACAACCATCTTTGAGAGTTCTTGGAGAACGGGAGAAGTTCCAGCAGATTGGAGGAGGGCCAATGTGGTCCCAATCTTCAAGAAGGGAAAAAGGATGACCCAAACAACTACCGTCCGGTCAGCCTCACGTCGATACCGGGCAAGATTCTGGAAAAGATTGTTAAGGAAGCGGTCTGCAAACACTTAGAAACAAATGCAGTCATCGCTAATAGTCAACATGGATTTATCAAAAACAAGTCATGCCAGACTAATCTGATCTCTTTCTTCGATAGAGCTACAAGCTGGGTAGATGCGGGGAATGCCGTGGATGTAGCGGACCTGGATTTCAGTAAGGCCTTCGACAAGGTCCCCCATGACCTTCTGGCAAGGAAACTAGTCCAATGTGGGCTAGGCAAAACTACGGTGAGGTGGATCTGTAATTGGTTAAGTGGACGAACACAGAGAGTGCTCACTAATGCTTCCTCTTCCTCTTGGAAAGAAGTGACGAGCGGAGTGCCGCAGGGTTCCGTCCTGGGCCCGGTCCTGTTCAACATCTTTATTAATGACTTAGATGAAGGGTTAGAAGGCATGATCATCAAGTTTGCAGACGACACCAAATTGGGAGGGATAGCCAATACTCCAGAGGACAGGAGCACAATTCAAAACGATCTTGACAGATTAGAGAGATGGGCCAAAACTAACAAAATGAAGTTCAACAGTGACAAATGCAAGATACTCCACTTTGGCAGAAAAAATGAAATGCAAAGATACAGAATGGGGGACAATGCCTGGCTCGAGAGCAGTACGTGTGAAAAAGATCTTGGAGTCCTCGTGGACAACAAGTTAAACATGAGCCAACAATGTGATGTGGCGGCAAAAAAAGCCAATGGGATTTTGGCCTGCATCAATAGGAGCATAGTGTCTAGATCTACGGAAGTCATGCTACCCCTCTATTCTGCTTGGTTAGACCACACCTGGAATATTGTGTCCAATTCTGGGCACCACAATTCAAGAGAGATGTTGACAAGCTGTAATGTGTCCAGAGGAGGGCGACTAAAATGATCAAGGGTCTGGAGAACAAGCCCTATGAGGAGCGGCTTAGGGAACTGGGCATGTTTAGCCTGAAGAAGAGAAGGCTGAGAGGAGATATGATAGCCATGTATAAATATGTGAGAGGAAGCCACAGGGAGGAGGGAGCAAGCTTGTTTTCTGCTTCCTTGTAGACTAGGACGCGGAACAATGGCTTCAAACTACAAGAGAGGAGATTCCATTTGAACATGAGGAAGAACTTCCTGACTGTGAGAGCCGTTCAGCAGTGGAACTCTCTGCCCCGGAGTGTGGTGGAGGCTCCTTCTTTGGAAGCTTTTAAGCAGAGGCTGGATGGCCATCTGTCAGGGTGATTTGAATGCAATATTCCTGCTTCTTGGCAGAATGGGGTTGGACTGGATGGCCCATGAGGTCTCTTCCAACTCTTTGATTCTATGATTCTATGATATATATAAATATATATACACACACACACATACAGATACATACATTTTTACAGATCTACTCAAATAGAGTCAATTTAGTATTCTTTGCATGTATGTTGTAGAGAGCCGTTGTGTTTTTTTTTTTAATTCCTTGTATCTCTGGAATCCATCCACTGTTGGACGTCATTGAGTGCCTCCTGCCTAACACACTAATATGAGAGATTGAATGATCAGGCCCAGCTTATTTTTAGCTTAACTGTTTTGCAACTGTTGATGAGGGAAGCCTGCCCAGAATTTCTCTCTCTCTCTGTGTGTGTGGATGTGTATAAATACACACTGTAATCTGTGTGCTAAATCCAACTTGTACAGGAGCTTCCTTTGAGCAAGCTTTTCCAAAATGGCTTGACTGGGAATTTCAGCAAATGGCACAGAAAGGAGAATGTGGGTGTAGCTTTTAGCTATCTTCTATTTTTGAAAATACTTGTGTTAGAGAAAGTCAGAGCTGAGATCTGTGGAGGAGAATTTGGGCTGTTGAAGCAGGCAGTAATAAGACCATCCAAGCTCAAGTTTGTTATGTCATATGACTGACTAGCCTTTATATCAAGCAAGAGCAAACTTTAGTTCTCCAGATGTTTTGGACTTTAATTCCCACAATTCCTGCCTATTGACTGTTAGGAATTGTGGGAGTTGAAGTCCAAAACATCTGGAGGGCCAAAGTTTGCCCATGCCTGCTTTATATTCATATTCCTACTGACATGTATTCATTTGAAAGTCCAATGTGGTCCATTGTATTGATCCCTGAAGCTGGTTTCCCAGTGTTACTGGTTCACACTCATCCAGTTGTAAGGTTCTGTATTGAGATCAAACTGTGTCCAATCTTGACATCAAAGCATCATCCATTGAATACAGATCCCTCCCTTTATTCTCATTTTGGGTAGTCCAGATCAAGACTCTAGTCCGTATCTGGAGTAGAGAATTGAGGGATCTTCTTTCATTTGGGTTGTTGTAGGTTTTTTCGGGCTATATGGCTATGGTCTAGAGGCATTCTCTCCTGACGTTTCGCCTGCATCTATGGCAAGCATCCTCAGAGGTAGTGAGGTCACTAGACCATAGCCATATAGCCCGAAAAAACCTACAACAAAAAAGTGATTCCGGCCATGAAAGCCTTCGACAATACTTCTTTCATTTTCTTTTAACTTGCTCCCAAACCTGGAGCACATCAGATATCCCTGAAAATTCAAAATTGATGCTATTTGCTAGCAAGCCCTTTATTTTTGCTATGCAAGCTTATGGGCCCAGGGATACAAACTCACATTACGTTGATTCCTATAGAAATAAATAAAATCAATTTCGGTCTCAGTGGTCTGCTTGAAAAGCATTCACTGCGACCAGGAGAGTTCCACAATCTAATCTGTCCTGTAAAGGTTATTTATTTCTCACAATTCCTCCCAAAACACGGACTTACGGACAGAGATATACATATGGAGTATAGAGTCATAGAGTTGGAAGAAACCTCATGGGCCATCCAGTCCAATCCCCTGCCAAGAAGCAGGAAAGTCGCATTCAAAGCACCCCCAACAGATGGCCATCCAGCCTCTGTTTAAAAGCCCCCAAAGAAGGTGCTTCCACCACAGAGAGTTCCACTGCTGAACAGCTCTCACAGTTAGGAAGTTCTTCTTAATGTTCAGGTGGAATCTCCTTTCCTGTAGTTTGAAGCCATTGCCTGCGTCCTAGTCTCCAGGGAAGCAGAAAACAAGTTTACCCCCTTCTTCCTATGACTTCCCCTCAGATATTTATACATAGCCATCATGTCTCCTCTCAGGCTTCTCTTCGGCAGGCTAAACAAGCCTAGCTCTTTAAGCCGCTCCTCATAGGGCTTGTTCTCCAGACCCTTGATCATTTTAGTCGCCCTCCTCTGGACACATTCCAGCTTGCCAATGTCTCCCTTCAGTTGCGGTTCCCAGAAAGGGACACAATATTCTAGCTGTGATCTGACCAAGGCATGACTTCCCTGGATCTAGACATTACACTCCTATTTATGCAGACCAAAATCCCATTGGCTTTTTAAGCTGCCGTATGACATTGTTGGCTCATGTTTAACTTGCTGTCCATGAGGACTCTAAGATCTTTTTCATACGTAGTGCTGTCGAGCCAAGCATCATGAATTACATTTTAATGAATTCTCTCCTCTTGTATCCTGATCCATGGTAGTGAAAATAACAGACTTTTTGGCAAGGGTTACTCAGATCATAAACAATCACAATAATGGTATAGTTTCTTTCACATTAAATGCAACATTCATTCTAATATGTGTTTGGTCTGTTTCCTTCTCCTTTCTGAATATTAGCCTCAGCACAATGGCATTTCTCCTCGCATGTTCAAGGCTCTGGTCAGCAAAGGACACCCCGAATTCTCCTCCAATCGGCAACAAGATGCACATGAGTTCTTCCTACATCTCATAAATCTAATAGAGGTAAGCAAGGTTGAACTATGACTGTTGCGTTTTTTTCCTCATTGAAAAACAATCACATGCTAGTCTTATTAATTTTAGATACTTTATCTATACATTGATATAGTATCATAGTTGTATATGCCACTTTTGTGGGTTTGCAAATAGAAATTGTTGTTTTTTTTGTTGTTGTTGTTCTTCGGCCAGTTTTCAACATACATTTGGAAAGTAGATAAGATAACAGAAAAAAGGAACTGGTGTTTTTCCTTTCAACTTTACCAAAAAGTATTGCTGATTTACTTTAAAACATAGTGATAGATTTAGTTAAATGGATGTTATTTCTTTTTAAATGAGTCCATTAGAGTTCTAAGACTGTCTGGAGAGGCCCTTCTCTCGTTCCTCTGCCAACTCAGTCCCCTTCTACACTGCCATATAATCCAGATGATCAGAGAAGATAATCCACATTATCTGCATTGAATTGGATTATATGAGTCTACACTGCCATATAATCCAGTTCAAAGCAGATAATCTGAATTTTATATGGCAGTGTAGAAGAGGCCCTGTCTGGAGAGGCCCTTCTCTCGTGTCTCTGCCTTCTCAGACCCCTTCTACACAGCCATATAATCTAGATCAGGGGTCCTCAAACTACAACCCGGGGGCCGGATACGGCCCTCTAAGGTCATTTACCCGGCCCTCGCTCAGGGTCAACTGAAATGACTTGAAAGCACACAACAACAACAATAATCCTATCTCATCAGTCAAAAGCAAGCCCACACTTTCCACTGAAATATTAATAACCTTATATTTGTTAAGATTGTTCTTCATTTTAATTATTGTATTGTTTTTGCATTAGAAATAAGATATGTGCAGTGTGCATAGGAATTCATTCATGTTGTTTTCAAATTATAATCCGCCCTCCCAACAGTTGGAGAGACTGTGACATGGCCCTCTGTTTAAAAAGTTTGAGGACCCCTGATCTAGATTATCAAAAGAAGATAATCCACATTATCCACTTTGAACTGGATTATATGTGTCTACACTGCCATATAATCCAGTTCAAAGCAGATAATCTGGATTTTATATGGCAGTGTAGACACAGCTGAACAAAATCCCACATGTTCTGCTTTGAACTGGAATATATGGCAGTGTGGACTCAGATAACCCAGTTCAAAGCAGATAATGTGGGGTTTTCTGCCTTGATATTCTGGGTTATATGACTCTGTGAAGGGCCCTCAGTTTCATTTGGTGGAAAGGGAGACCAATATGGCTGTCCTTCCCTTGGGAAGTCCAAACATTTTTGTGCCGTATGGTACTGTTCTTGAGCTTTGTGTGTTGCATTTTAATATTTGCAATCTATATAAATAAAAATGTAATGTTCGTCTGTGGGATTAACATAACTCAAAAACCACTGGATGAATTGACACTAAATTTGGACACAAGTCACCTCTCAGGCCAACGAGTGACCATCACTCGTTGGCCTGAGAGGTGTCCCCCTAGGGGTGAGAAAAGCAGTGTATAGATGTTGTAAATAAATAATAAATAAACACTGAAAAAGACAGCAGAAAGGACTTAAAAAGTCAACCCCCCCCAAAAAAAACATTAAACACATGCACAAAACCACACACATATATATGCAAACACACATATATACACATACACACACACAAAACACATATACACAGACTGGGCCACAGCAACGCATGGCAGGGGACGACTAATGTTTAATATTTTAACTTCATAAATTGCTTGTTTTAAAAAAATGCATTCATACTTTCATTAATGCTTTTTGTATTTTTTTATTTAACTATGTCATTAGCCACTGTTAGTTCCATTATGTGGAGAAAAGTGGGATATAAATGAATAACGCCATCATCATTATTGTCATCACCATCAATTTGGGCAGAGGAACACACAGTGCTTGATATCTTGAGAGAGCCATGAAATACATGTAATGGAAATCAATGCAAAAGTCTGTTAAACTGAATTTAGAAATATTGACATAGGAGATAAGTACTTATTTTATAAAGATTGTTTTTTTAAACTTTGATGGTAGAGGCTGAGTAATGTTCTCTGTCAGTCATATAATGCGTAATACTACAAAAATCATTCCTACCATCCATTACCAAGTTACTTTACTAGAATGCATTTGGATTTTCTAACATTAATTTTTTTCAATTATTGGCATTTTTGTATTCTTTTTTACTCTTTCTTTATTGGATTTTATAAGAGTTTATATTCTGCCTTTCCCCCCAAAAAATTGAATTTAAGACACCTACAACAATATAGTCGGAACAGGAAACAAGAACAGCTATTCTATTCAAACATAATTAAATCAAAGGCACAATTATAAAATGTTTAAAACACAATTTTAAAAGAAACATATGGTTAAGGAAAACACAACCTTAGATATGCAGATAACACCACTTTGATGGCTGAAAGCGAGGAGGAGCTGAGGAGCCTTCTAATCAAGGTGAAAGAAGAAAGCACAAAAGCTGGGTTGCAGTTTAACATTGAAAAAAAAACCAAGATTATGGCAACAAGAATGATTGACAACTGAGAAATAGAGGGAGAAAACGTGGAGGCCGTGACAGACTTTGTATTTCTAGGTGCAAAGATACTGCAGATGCAGACTGCAGCCAGGAAATCAGGAGACACTTACTTCTTGGGAAGAGAGCAATGACCAATCTCGATAAAATAGTGACGAGAAGAGACATCAGACTGGCAACAAAGATCCGCATAGTTAAAGCAATGGTATTCCCATAATCACTGATGTGAGAGCTGGACCATAAGGAAGGTTGAGCGAAGCAAGATAGATGCTTTTGAACTGTGATGCTGGACCACGAGAAGATCTAACCAGTCCATACTTCAAGAAATAAAGCCTGACTGCTCATTGGAGGGAAAAATAGTAGAGGTACTTTTGCCACATCATGAGAAGAAAGGAAAGCTTAGAGAAGACAATGATGCTGGGGAAAATGGAAGGAAAAAGGAAGAGGGGCTGACCAAGGGCAAGATGGATGGATGGTATCCTTGAAGTGACTGGCTTGACCTTGAAGGAGTTGGGGGTGGTAACCGCCAACAGGGAGTTCTGGCGTGGACTGGTCCATGAAGTCATGAAGAGTCGGAAATGACTGAACGAATGAACAACAACAAGGAAAATACAACTTTCAGTTGGATAAGAAACTCCGCTCTACCACCTCCCGTCCCAATAATGCAGTGGTTCTCAACCTGGGGGTCGGGACCCCTGGAGGAGTCATGAGGGAATGTCAGAGGGGTCACTAAAGGCCACCAGAAAAAACAGTATATTATGTTGGTCATGGGGGTTCTATGTGGGAAGTTTAACCCAATTCTGTCATTGGTGGGGTTCAGAATGCTCTTTGATTGTAAGTGAACTACAAATCCCAGCAACTACAACTCCCAAAATGTCAAGGACTATTTTCCCCAAACTCCATCAGTGTTCACATTTGGGCATATTGAGTATTCATGCCAAGTTTGGTCCGGATCCAGCATTGTTTGAATCCACAGTGCTCTCTGGATGAAGGCGAACCACAACTCCAAAACTCAAGGTCAATGCCCACCAAACCCTTCCAGTATTTTCTGTTGGCCGTGGGAGTTCTGTGTTCCAAGTTTGGTTCAATTCCATCATTGGTACAGTTCAGAATGCTCTTTGATTGCAGGTGAACTACAAATCCCAGCAACCACAACTCCCAAATGACAAAATCACCCCCAACAGTATTCAAATTTGGGCATATCAGGTATTTGTGCCAAACTTGGTCCTGTGAATGAAAATACATCCTGCATATCAGATATTTAGATTACAATTGATAACAGTAGCAAAATGACAGTTATGAAGTAGGAAGGAAAATAATTTTATGGTTGAGGGTCACCACAACAATGAGGAATTGTATTAAGGGGTCGCAGCATGAGGAAGGTTGAGAACCCCTGCAATAGTATAAGGTACCCTGAAAATATGGGTACAGCCTCTTATCCATCCACTTCTGGAACTCATCGACTGACATTAATGAATAGTGATTACTAGGCAATTATTTATTCCTGAAATAAATAAAGGAGGAAGGGAGAATTTAGAAAACCAAAACTTTTTTAAAAAAGAAACTCGGCTCTTAGCAGCCAGACAGTGTCAGAAGCCATTATAAATCTCTGGCTTCCCTAAATCGTTGCTTTAAGGAGAGAGTCTGCCGGTGGTGGTGAGATGCTGTTTACAAAGTACATTATCAGTACATAAAAATCCTGCAAACACAGGATGTGCTGCAGCCAATTCTAAGCCTTTTCAAACCTTATTGATTTGGGTAGGGGAAATTTAAGCACTCCATGAACTATCCCACTGAAATCAATGATGCTTAACATGCTTTCTTTCCACTGGGTTGTATACACAATGTTTCTTTTATTGAGCACCTTGTTGTAAATTTAATGGGAGGAAACCCTTCTGCTAATGCTGTTCAAAGCTAACTTCTACCTTCCAAGGCATGGAAAAGAAGACAAAGGATAAAAATAAAACGATTTCTCTCCACTGTTTGCCTGTTTTGTGTTTTGCGTGACTGAAGGTTTGCATGCAGGATACTTCTGTGTTTCAAAATGTAAACATCTATCATGGCAATTATGAATCCTTACTGCAGCTGTTAAAGGACATGATGTAAAGAAAGTACATACTGATGGAGTTTTCTCTAATCGTCCAATGTGCATAACTCGCTTGCATTATGGTGGTGGCTTGGGTCCTTCCTGTAATTTGCAGCTCCTCCTGAAGCCAGCAGTAGCCATTACAGAAAATTTGGAAAATGTCAAGGACATACAACTTGGTGGCTTCCCACATGGCTCAGGTCTACTCATGTTGTCATGATTACTCAAGTGGTTGGGTTTGATTTTTTTCCCATTCAGAGAAACCACATTGGTTCAGAAAACCCCAGCGATGTCTTCCGGTTCTTGGTGGAAGAGCGAACACAGTGCTGCCAGTCTCGGAAAGTCCGATACACGGAGAGGGTAGACTATCTCATGCAGTTGCCTGTGGCAATGGAGGCTGCCTCAAACAAAGGTAAAGCAGAATGAGTCTCTCTCATGCCTTGCTTAGCATATCATTCAGATGGAATTCAGAAGGCAGTTTATTTACATGCTAGTTATGACTCTTGTTCTCATGAACTATTACATATCTGATGGTGTTGATAGACCTTCCCATTTCACCTGATGCTACTCACATATCCAGCTGCCAATCTTTGGATTTAAGTACATGCACATCTGAATCTGTTCTTGTTTGAATTGATGACCTAAAATATTTGAAATTCCACCCTAAAAATACAGTATTACCCCACCCCCACCCTGTATGTGCAGTGGATAGATTCCTGAACTTAATGTGGAAACAGGAAATGATGGATAAAGTGAATGATGGATAAAATGAACAGCACCTGATTGAAGTTACTACAGTGTTTCTCAAACTCTGCTTCTCCGGGTGTTTTGGACTTCAGCTCCCAGAAATCCCAGCCATCTTACCAGCTGTTAGGAATTGTGGGAGCTGAAGTCCAAAACATCTGGAGGAGCAGAGTTTGAGAAACACTGAGTCACTATAAAGTCACACTGGAGGACCTAGGAAATTTCTCCTTACATATCTTCTCTAGGTCTTCCAATTCAATTCTGTGGTAACCCCTGGTAGAAGAATACCATTTGTGAGGTTCTCTCATTCTTATGTATCTTGCTCCTCTAGTGACCTGGCCATACATTATGTTGGGCCTTTCCACATACAAAACTATCTAAAGCACCTGACTGTGGCCAAATACCATTGTCTATTTTCCAAAACAAGGTGTAATGTGCTCCCGTCTGAATTGTTGCGGGAGAGATTGCGGGTACCTCATATAATGAAAGACTCTACCAATGTAACACACAGGAAGAAGAATGCATTTATTATTTGCATGCGGCTTGCTCACTGTTATTGTGATTGGTCATTGCATTCTTATGTTTTGTGTTCATAGCTTATTGTATTCATCATGTTTTTGTATTTTACTGTGTTGTTGCTTGCATTTCGGTTTTTATTTTATTATATTTTACTGTATTGTAATTTGCTTTTTGGGCTTGGCTTCATGTAAGCTGCCTTGAGTCCCCATTGGGAAAGATGGATAGGGTGGCAGGGTATAAATAAAGTTTATTATTATTATTATTATTATTATTATTATTATTATTATTATTAATCACATTCTGCTGTCATGCAGTTTCTATGAACAGGACCGTGCACACATAATCAACCCCCTACTAGGAAACTTATCCGCTAGTTTAGTTTAATTTTATGTGACGTTTCTACTTGGTGATGATCTTCCCTGCGTGACCTTGGCGATTGCCAAGTTTCTTTCTAAGGCAGCCAGGATTAGACAATTTCCAATTTTAGGCACAGGCTGAAACACGCCGACACTTCTTGTAGTCTTTTACCTATGTTTTTAGCCAACAAGTATTTGAAGCAATTTTTAACTGTTGTTAATTTTGCCAATTTGTGTATTTAATCATTTGTATGTTGTTAATCACATTCACCTGTTATACCTTGTACATCTACGATGCAATAAGGGTCTTTGGACCATAATGAAATGTTGTTGGTGTTGTTGTTGTTGACTGGAGGATTTAGAAAATTCATAGAGAGGAATTTTTAGGTGAAACCATGAATACTAGTCATGTGGGTGCATGGGTCATACTTTATGCAACCCTGTATGGCTAAAAAAAAAATCTGGATTATCTGCCTTACAGAAGATTGTAAAGAAGCACACTCCGAAACTTCTGCTATATTTTGAGGCTGTTGTGCTTTTAGAAATTTCCTAGCTTTTGTGAGATTAAATCCACTTCCCCCAGTTTGTTTATATTCAAAAGGATTTCATCACTTTGTGTTGGAAATGTCAAGGTATCAAAGGGACAAAGATCTAGTGCCATTGTAGCATTGCCTTCTGTCATTCCTCTTTGAGAGTTCCTTCCATCATTAACTCTAGCCATGGATTCATAACTGGATGCAGATCTTACCTCAATGTCTTGGATAACAAAATATCAAACCATGGTTAGGGTTAATGTAGCACACTCTGCAGTGGTTGGGAGTTGTTGCAGGATTATTTTTTATCTGGGAGGTTTGAATAAGGTTGTTTCTTTATGTAGAAACCTTTCTTCTCCAAGTGTGGTAATCCTTCAGTGTTGCTTGTGCTTCTGGTTAGATGAATTGATTGCTTATGAACTGAAGAGGAGGGAAGCCGAAGCTGCAAGGAGGCCTCCTCCAGAGCTTGTACGTGCCAAGATCCCTTTTAGCGCTTGTCTTCAGGCCTTTTCTGAACCAGACAATGTAGAAGACTTCTGGAGCAGTGCTCTGCAAGCCAAGTCTGCTGGAGTGAAGTGAGTATACAGCACAAGTGTTGAAGAATGGGAGAGGTATATTGCTTTTAATGTGATGGAGCACAGAAGTGGTTGGTTGTGACTTATGAACCGTACTGTGCTCTTTCTGACTTTCAACCATAGTTTCATGAATGATTTAACAATAGGAATCTTAGAGTTGGAAGAGAAAACAAGGACCATCAAAGGGCAATACAAAGAGCATGGTAAAAAAATAGAGGAGGCATACCACAGATGAAGAACACCTTCTTAGTATGCAGAGGCTGTCCAATCTCAGACTGAGTAGGACCAAGAAAGAATTTCTCCTGAAATAATGGAAAGTGTATGTTAACAATATTGAGTTAGATGTGCCAGCTTCCTATGTTTATGTGGTTTTTAATGGGTTATGGCCAGTGTGAGGATCTGATGGCCCTGTGTCCCCAGAAATAGGCACATATACACACTCTAGTGGCACCAGATCCTGGAAGCTAAGCAAGGTCTTAGAAACTACAAGAGAAACTACAAGAAATGAGATTCCATCTGAACATGAGGAAGAACTTCCTGACAGTGAGAGCCGTTCAGCAGTGGAACTCTTGGCCCCGGAGTGTGGTGGAGGCTCCTTTTTTGGAAGCTTTTAAACAGAGGCTGGATGGCCATTAATCGGGGATGCTTTGAATGCAATTTTCCTGCTTCTTAGCAGGGGGTTGGACTGGATTCTAAATACCGGATGATGTAGGGTATATTTTCAGAGGGTGGAACTGACAAAACTTCTACGTATTCCTTGCTCATGAAATTCTTGAGGTTTCCATACATCTCTTGAAGACATGTACACATATAGTTTTTTCTCCAACCATTTTATTCTATTACACTGAAAACTGAAATTTTGCTATCGTCATGGCAGATTTTAAGAAAAGAATTCAATATTTTCTAGTCAGGTATCTGTAAAGATATTAAAGTAACAGGAGGAAACTCAAAGTGGGGGCAGGGAACATTTTTTTTGCAGATCCCATGAATTTTTGTGTGGTAGATTCTACAACAATCTGTTTTTCTATCTTCTCATAACCTCCTCATCCTCATATCTGTCCACATATAAGAACATAAGAATGGCCAGGCAGACGGATTTGGTCACCTCACTACTCAGCTCTTAATCTCAGATCATTTATAAATTATCCAAAAAGTATTTGTATTAATTAGTCTGTTAAAAGAACTGTCAATTTATTTCTCCTTTCTGCATCATCTTGTGTTAGTAGTGACCGATCTGTGTGAATGTAGTGCAGTGGTTTGTTGAACTAGGACTTTGAGAGAACAGGGTTCAGTTGCTGTTCATCTGCAGAAACCCATTCTGGGACCTTGTGCAAATCCCTCTTGGCCTCAAGGGAAGGTAACAACACACTTCCTCTAAAAAAAACTTTATAATAGACTCGCTACAAGTCATAGTTAGCTTGAAGGCACATAATAACTACCACAAATCCTATCTTCTTACTCTTTGAATTCTGTTTAAAAAAGTAATGCCCAGGAACACATTTTGAGGTATACTTGCAAACGTATTCGGGGTAGTAATTGTATTGATCATTATTGGTCAGCCAAACTTGACAAAATACATCATGCAAGCTTTCAAAGTTCTATTGGCTTATTCATCAGGCAAAATATGTCAAAATCATACAGGAGAAGAAAAGTGACAATGTAGCACCACAAGCCTACATTTTGTATCAGCTATTGTTTTTGTTGTAGCTCATTTTTTCTGGAGGGATCTCAGACAAAGATCATTCCACTTGTGGGAATCAGGGACAAAGGGCATAAAAGACAGGTAATAAAGTTTCAACTCCATTAGCAACAAAAAGTAACTTCCTTTGAGCTGCAGGTTGGTTCTGTCTTCTTGTAGCTCAGTGTCATTCATCTAAAATTGCTTCTGTTTTCAGAACGTCTCGCTTTGCTTCATTTCCTGAATACCTGGTGGTACAGATCAAGAAATTTACTTTTGGCCTTGACTGGATACCTAAAAAACTTGGTATGTATTTTGAATGCTTTCCACTTGAAATTGAAACAAGTTGTGAAATGTATGCTTTCATGGCCGGAATCACTGGGTTGTTGTAGGTTTTTTCGGACTACATGGCCATGTTCTAGAGGCATTCTCTGTGAAATGTTGAACTGCAAGGAGGCTTCCGGACAGTGGTTTCCGACCTACCTTCTACTCCTTGGTGATATGAAAAAAGACGGGTGGAAAAACAGAGAAAGATAACAAAGAGGATACAATGGTGTTTAGACCTCTAGTGAAATGTTGTGAATAAGGCAAGGTGATTGTACACCAGAAGTTTTGTCTTGGAGCCCTTGGTGAACTGCCCATGTGTAGAGGGGCTGAATTGGGTTTTCTCTTCCTTTCTAATGAAGAAATCTCCACAAACATAAATAATCTGTCAAGTCAAGAGTATTATAGAACAAATGTTGTTATTATAATTTAACTCAAAAACTTTGGGATTTGTATTTTTGTGAAGGCACACAGTAATTGTTTGAACTGGTCCTTCTATAATGAACCTTCCCATGGTTCATTGGTCTGGAGCCGTGGTAGTTAACTGTTGTAGTTTGATGACATCTGAAGGTCTCCAAGTGGCTTCCACTTGAATTAAAAATCCTTAACACGTCGATAAGTAGATCTTTTTTGTACCATCTCCAAAAGCCTAATGTATCACTAAGTGCAAGTGACGGGCTGGTGGTCTCCATCCTGCTTTGAGGGTGGAATGATGATTATTACTACTACAGGCAGTTACAAATATCTGACTTACAAATGACTCATAGTTAAGTACAGGGATGAGACAACAGGAAGTGGGAGAAATCTATCCTTAGAAAGGGAAAGCCACTCCTGGAAGAGTTATCATGGGATAAAGGTGTCTCAGCTGAAGCTTTCTCACCAATCCGTGTTTCCACAGCAAGCCAAATGTTTCAAATCCAATGATCATGGGGACAGAAAGTGAGGTTAAATCTGTTGAACAGAGGCACAGACATCAAAACAAACACCGCAGGGATGTTAGTCCTTCCCTAGGCTATCCAAAGCATTATTTCTATCCATTTTCCCAGTTTGGAACTCAAAGTGGCTTAGAACAAAACTTCGCTGGTAAGATTAATGAAACTTAAATTGTTGAAGGCTTTCATGGCTGGAATCACTGGGTTGTTGTAGGTTTTTCGGGCTATATGGCCATGTTCTAGAAGCATTCTCTCCTGACATTTCGCCTGCATCTATGGCAAGCATCCTCTGAGAATGCTTGCCATAGATGCAGGTGAAATGTTAGGAGAGAATGCTTCTAGAACATGGCCATGTAGCCCGAAAAACGTACAACAACCCAGAAACTTACATTGTTTTGTTTAGCTGTAAAACACTTAGTGTTGGAGCCTGAGTGTAGGAACACACTTTAATGTGCCTGCAATATATTTGCTGTGTATCTATAGGCTTATTTGCCCTGCTGTGCTTGCAGATGTTTCCATAGACATGCCAGACCTTCTGGACATCAATCACCTTCGTGCCACTGGCCTTCAACCAGGAGAAGAGGAACTTCCTGACATTTCTCCCCCCATTATCATTCCTGAAGACCCCAAAGGTACTGCCTTCTACAATGAGGATCTCTACCTCCCTACCATTCTCCACCACAACTGTTAGTGGGTCTTCTTTTTGTTCCTTTGTCAATCTTGCTCCCTGCCTGTTCGCATGGAACTTATTGGATGACAAGCTCCAATCATATTCATGGTATATCCTTTGTACAGCAAAGTATATACCAGAAATACACTCATAGGTGTATTTCTGCAAGAGAAGTAGCCAGTTAAATAATCAAGGCTTGGTTCCCTTTCATCAGATGGAAACATTTATGAAGCTTTTCAAGGTTTTGCAAGTTCAGTGGATGAACAGGTAGAATCTATACATCAGTTCTGAAGGAGAAACTTCCAAATTAGGTGAAGAGTAACTCTGGGAGAATGGGAGTCAGAACCAAAAAGATTACTGAGATGGGCCATGCAGAATGTGGCACAAGGCAGGCTGGGATTTGCTGTAATTCAGAGAAGACAACTTGATATGGCTTCTATGTTCAGAAGACAAGCTTATAGAAAGCAGGGAGGCAGGGATATTTTGAAAACTGCAGAGAAAGGAGAGCTGCACATAACATTGGCCAAAAATTAAGCCAGTGGTGAAAGTCTCCATATCTAAATCTGAAGCCTTCTGTTTCTCGTCTTATGGAAAGTAGCACCTATAAGGAATGAACAAGGCCTTGACTCTCAAGCTCTGATTTGGTCTTCAAACCCAGGGCAGAACTGGCTAACTTTCTCTCTCACACCATTTCATTGCCCGTACTCTGTCTCCCTCATTTTGATTTTTTATATTTCCAGATGGCACGAAGAACCATTTCATGGAGTGTATGTATTTTATTACACGATGCTAGCTTTATTTATTTATTTATTTATTTTGAAGTGGGCATTGCAGTGAATATTTGCTGCTGTTCACAGGGACTCTGTGTCTGCTGAGAGATGCATGGAAGCTCTTCCCTTTTGGCTATTAACTACGCTATTATGTGTATTTGAATGTCTGAAGAAATCTTAGTATTATGGAGTAGTATAGAGATATCTATGGCTGCTCATATTTTCTCTTCTTTTGTCCTATGGTTAGGTCTAAAAACTGGAAATATTAGTTTTCTCTGACATCTTTTCCTGCTCAAGCCATAGACAGAATATTAGATTTATATGTCAGGCTAAAAAGAGTCTTGGTTGTTAGCATGGCACTGGGCAATAATCTGTCCTAGCAATTTCTTATAGAGAATACCTATTAAAAATATCTTTAGATCCTCCAATGAACTGTACAATATGCTGGGACAAGAAGTGAGATAATTTAAGGTGTTCAGTCATATCTGTAGTTTTATATAACTGTGGTCCAGATGTGAATGTATCTTTAGCCAATACAGGGATCTTACTGTATTTTGTAAAAAGTAATACTTCCAAGCCTATCTGAGCTTGTGCAAGCTGAAAGATTGAGGCGACTACCTTAATTTCACCCTTTTTGCAAGCAAAGGTGACACCATTGTGAGGTCACAGCAATTTTGTGTAAGTGGCTCTTAAAACCTAGAGCACTTTGAGTACTAAAAAGCTTGGGCAACCAAGACTTCTGTGTTTTCAGTATTGTCTTGCATGATGATTGGCATTTATGTTTTAGTAGCTGATGGCCGTACGTACACTTTCATTTCAATAGGACAGGAAGTGATTTTTCGAGTGAATAGTGCCGGGTGCTTTGATGTTTCTCAGAGTAAGCCTGAGTTTGTGTGAGTGCAAGACCTTCCACAGGTGTTTCTTTCTCTGTTTACACTCAGTGCAAAATTGAACATCAAACCAAGTACTTAAGGTGCAATTCCATGCAGGGGAGAACTGCCAGGGGCATAGTGTGTATCCTTTATGATTTACACTCTTAGTGCCACAGGATGAACAAAACCCTTACCATTGGTAGAGGACAGAGATAAAGTTTTCATGCTCGAACTGTTCTCTCTCTTAGCACCAGACATTGATGAATCCTCTGTGATGCAGCTAGCAGAGATGGGGTTCCCACTGGAAGCTTGCCGAAAGGCTGTCTATTATACTGGCAACATGGGGGCGGAGGTGGCTTTCAACTGGATCATTGCACACATGGAAGAACCAGGTCTGTAGTCTGAATGTCTGTACAATACATATCTTTGTGTTTGATGCAGCGAGATCGGTGTATCTCTTTCGTAAGCACAGCCCAGGTTCCCCAACATCTTTTACAAACTTTTCCTAGCTTGGCTAAGTACTGTAATCATAGATATGGATTATCTAGCTGTCTGCTGTAGAGGCTTGTAAATAGATTGATAAAATGGAAGAAGAATCCTGCTAGGTCAGACCAGAGCTTGGAAAGGTTATTACGAGTCAGATCAAACATCTGTTTAGTCCAGTATCCTGTTTCTTACAATGGCCAACAAGATGCTCTATGAAGCCCTCAAACATAGCATGAAAGAAAGGCCAATCCAGCTGTTGTTCCCAAGTGACAGTGGCAGCTTTTTGAAGTACAGTAGAGTCTCGCTTATTCAACCTTCAGTCATCCAACATTCTGTATTATCCAATGCAGTTTTCCTCCCACCTGGATCCACTGCTGTTTCAATACATTGCAATGTTGTGGTACTAAATTTGTAAATACAGTAATCACTACATAATGTTACCATGTATTGAACTGCTTTTTCTGCCAATTGGTTGTAAAAAATGATGTTTTGGTGCTTAATCATAAAATCATAACATAATTTGATGTTTAATAGGCTTTTCCTTAAGCCCTCCTTATTATCCAACATTTTTGCTTATCCAACATTCTGCTGGCCCGTTTATGTTGGATAAGCGAGACTGTACTGTAATTAGTTTACAAAATTATGTAGTAGTCCACATATCTGCACAGTAGTGTTTCATGGATGGCCAGATAGAGAAAGGGAGCTCTCTTCCAATTAACAAATGTTCCTTTATTTGTTGCCTGGACAAGATTTCTATTCACTGATGGTGGCTAGGCAAAATTCGCATGATATAGACAGACTGGATACACTGAACCTCTGCCTCTCTCTCTATTTCTCAACAGTGTTGCTCACACAGATGGTGCTGTGCTTGTTTACCTCTCTTTTAAAGAAATTAATACATCTATTATGGGAAATACTTATACATTTTTCATAAATAACCAGCTGTTCTTTTTAAGTAGATGTGAATATTTGCTATATACATTCCAGATTTTGCAGAACCATTACTCATCCCTGGCTATGCTGGAGCTGCTTTTCCTGGGGCAGATAAGCCAGGATTTGCTGGACTGGATAACCAGCCTCCAGAAGAGATGGTTGCCATCATTGCTTCTATGGGCTTCCAACGGAACATAGCTCTCCGGGCGCTTCGGGCAACAGTAAGTCATCCAACAAATTATTTTGGGTCTATCTATAGCAGAGATGCAAACATTTTCCACTTGGACGCATCATCACATATGACTTTCAGAGGCTGGTACAGTTTACAGCAACCATGGAGGCAGCATCAAATTGGATAGAGAGAGATCTTGAATTACTTTTGGTCTGGGGTATTCAATTGTTGACCTGTTTTGTTGTTTATTCATTCAGTCGCTTCTGTCTCTTAATGACTTCATGGACCAGCACATGCTAGAGCTCCCTGGTGGCTGTGGCCAACCCCAGATCCTTTGAAATAAAGCCAGTCACTTCAAGGATACCATCCATCCATCTTGCCCTTGGTGGGCCTCTCTTCCTTTTTCCTTGCATTTTCCCTAGCATCATTGTTTTCTCCAAGCTTTCCTGTCTTCTCATTATGTGGCCAAAGTACTTCATCTTTGCCTTTAATATCCTTCCCTCCAATGAGCAGTTGGGTTTTATTTTCTGGAGTATGGACTGGTTTGATCTTCTCGTGGTCCAAGGCACTCTCAGAATTTTCCTCCAACACCACAGTTCAAAAGTGTGTATCTTCCTTCACTCAGCCTTCCTTATGGTCCAGCTCTCACATCCATAGGTTACTATGGGGAATACCATTGCTTTAACTATGTGGACCTTGGTTGCCAGTTGTGATGTCTCCACTCTTCACTATTTGATTGAGATTGGTCATTGCTCTCCTTCCAAGAAGTACCTTATCATAAATATACATCAAGCAAATAAGTTTGATTTGTTCCTGAGTATTTTTTTCACAGGGATTTATTAAAGTAAGATAGCTTCCTTAGCAAACTTTTCTGTTTTATCCAGCATAGAGAAGCACTTTTCAAACTCTAGGAGGTCCTTCATTTGTCATTCTTTTTGATGTTCTGATGAATCATTTCTTCTTTGCTTGAAATCATTGAAGTGCTGTACCAATTCAGTCTTAAGCGGTGATGAAATGCAAACAGAATAAGACTAAGAGAGGAAAGAAAAAGAATTTTGTTTCTTATAATGAGATCAAGTTGTTTCCTATTCTGGGATATTCTTGGCAAGATTTCTTCATAAAGGGGCTTAACACTGCCTTCCTCTGAGGCTGACAGAGTGCAATGTGCCTAAAACTACCCACTTGGGTTTGCATGGCCAAGCAGAAATATAAACTCTGGTGTTCGAGAATCCTGTTCTGATATACCATGCTGGACGTTAGATTAGAATGTGCATGTAAAAAAATACAATTTATAAATCATAGAACCTTCATAAATATGGAATATTCTTGTTAAAATGAGTGGAAGATTTCTTTTTAATTTCTAGTCATGTGAGTGGTTGGTGGCTGTGAAGTTACTTTATTTCCTGTGTTCCACCAAATACAGTAGAGTCTCACTCATCCAACCTTTGCTCATCCAATGTTCTGTATTATCCAATGCAGTCTGCCTCCTGCCCGGATCCACAGCTGTTTTAATACATGTTTTGGTGCTAAATTCGTAAATACAGTTATTACTACATAACATTACCGTGTATTGAACTGCTTTTTCTGTTGTTGTGTTGTAAAACATGACATTTTTGTGCTTAATTTGTAAAATCATAACATAATTTGATGTATAATACGCCTTTCCTTAATCCCTCCTTATTATCCAACATTTTTCGCTTATCCAGTGTTCTGCCAGCCCATTTATGTTGGATAAGTGAGACTACTGTACTGCTGAGCGATTTTAAATTTTTCTCCTTTTCTTCCTTCCATCTTAAGCTGTCCTTTTCAAAGTTCTTTGTCTGTCTAAGATAATATTGGGAATAATGGACCATGACCTGTTAGGATCTCTGACCATTGGGGGTATAGACCATGAACTGTTAGGATCACAACCCAATCAGGGCAAAAGAGTTTATTTGGTAATAGATGATCCCTAGGCATGTAGATACTTTGTTTCTGTTTGATGCTCCCAGCAGACAATGAAGCAAGCAGACTTCTTTTAAATAATCTTTCTCCATAAACTATGTTGCTTTATGTAGCTCTCTTAAATAAGAGTTTACTTTCAACAGTTTCTAACTTCCTAACATGAGATTTTGTACTCTGACAGATTTCTTTACTCAAGCTCTTTCAAGGCACAATACACTTCTCTAACAGTCATTCCTCAAATGACATTCCTTAACTCTCATCCTGTTTAAAAACTAAACATTCTAAATTCTAAATTGTCACTGAGTCAGTCATGCAAACTGCAGCCCCTCCCACTGCTTTAAGTATATAGAGATGAGTAACTTCAAACCACAAATAAGACATATGCTTCAGGTTATAAAACGACACATTACAAAATAGACAAACATCAAAGAGGAAACTTGAGAAGATTGCTTCCTCTAACAGATAATAGAAACAGACAAACACTGAGAAAGTTGTGTTTTTGGGAGTTTGAAAAGTGCTGAGAAGTTACTTTTAAAATTAATAAGGAGAGGTCTTGATCATATGTATGAGCCAACTAGTAATAAGTTAAGACCTCTTTCTCACTTCTGTGATCTTGCTTCTGCAAAAAGTATATGAGAACTTGCTATTGAATGGAGATTTTTGAGAATTTTAATTTAGTACTTTGAGCACACTTCACCTTTCTTGGTCCATAGACAAGCTTTCTTTGTTTTATTTCATTAGTGTTCCTTGTATTTTAGCTGTATTTTAACTTTTGTATCTACTTACAACTGTTTCATTGTTATTTGTGTTTTTAATCGTATGTATAATGCTTTATTATTTATTGTTTATGGCATTGAATGTTTACCACTATTGATTTGTTTTTTTGTAAGCTGCCCCTCTGGGGAGAGAGGGTGGGTTATAATTAAATTATTATTATTACTATTATTAGTATTATTAATTTTTATTAGGTATCATATTTCTTAGCTGCCTTGAGTCCCTATGGGGAGACAGGCGAGAAAGAAATAATAATAGGAAAAGTTGGTAGATGACACAAGAACATGAATTTCAAGCACAGAATAAAATGAAAATGTGTGGGCAGAGTCGTGATGATAGAGAAGAGTGAGAAAACAAACAAGAGGAGGCAAAGCAGAAAAAATGGTATTTCAAAAATAGAAATCTCAGTTTATCATCCAAACTTCATTTTTTGTGAAATCTTATTCAAATTATTCAATATTCACAGAATTATACAGTCTACAGCCTCACCAGATGGACCTCCATGGAGAAGAAAGAGATGATGGTGTATGCATTTTCTTTCCTAGAGGTTGAGAAAAGGTGTTTGCTGTAAGGTGTTTGCTCTTTACTAAAGAGAGCAGACAAAGTCTTTCAGTGGAGATGAGATTATCTTGCTCAGTGGGTTTCTTTTGGCTCATTTAAGGAGTGAACAAATTTCAGTAGTGGGAGAGATACTGATTGCCCCTGGCTATCCTGTTTTTCTCCTGCTATTTTGGCTCTCAGAACAACAACTTGGAACATGCATTAGACTGGATCTTCAGTCACCCAGAGCCAGAAGAGGCAAATGAAACCAGTTCTGAAGCCATGGACATAGAGAACCACGTGAATGCCAACCTCCTTGCAGAATCTGACCCAGAGGGGCCCAAGATCAAGGATGGGTCTGGACGTAAGTGTACTTTGATGATTTTGCTTCAGTTGTTAGGTGTATTAAAGGTATTTATTTCCAGATGAATTTCCAGTACAATAGGTCCTTGTTATCTGATGAAGTTTGGTTCCAGGACCCCATGTGGATACTAAAATCTATAGATGCTCAAGTCCATTATACAAAATGGCATAGTAAAATGGTGTCCCTTAGATACAGTTTGCAAAATCAAGGTTTGCTTTTTGGATATCCTGTTGACCTAAATGCAGTTGCTCATTCCATCTAGAATGGATACACTGAATCTGTTTTTGAATGTTTATGTACCACTTGAATCTAGCCTAGGCATGGACAAGCTTGGGCCCTCCAGGTGTTTTGGACTCCAACACCCACAATTCCTAACAGCCTCAAGCCCTTTGCTTTTCCCCTTCAGCCACTTAAGTGGAAAAGGAAGGGGCCTGAGGCTGTTAGGAATTGTGGGAGTTGAAGTCCAAAACACCTGGAAGAGGGCCCAAGTTTGCTCATGCCTGATCTATCCCATTGTATTGCTCCTTCTCCTAATCTGATTTCTTCCCCACTCTCAAAATTAAGATTGCTGATTTCTTGAAGTCTGATCTGTCTATCTGCCAGGTAAGGGTTAAATTGAAAGACATAAAATGGAAAGGTTTTGACCAGCAACCTATACACACATGTTAGAAGGAACCTGACACTGGGGTAAATGTAAAGGAGGGAATGGAAGTTGTGGTCAGTTTTGGGATTTGAACAGATCCCTTTATAACTTTTCAGTTGAGTCTGTATAGTTTGCCCCAAGCAGCTACTGAAATGGATTACAGTTGTCAGTCTATATCCACGTATTGTGCATCCACAGATTCAACCATCCACAGCTTGAAAATATTTTTAATCCAAAAAGCAACCCTTGATTTTGCTATTTTATATAAGGAATCCATGGTGACGTAGTGGGTTAAACTGCTGAGCTGTTGCTGACCGAATCCAGGGGTGGGGTGAGCTTCTGCTGTTAGTCCCAGCTTCTGCCAACTTAGCAGTTCAAAAAACATGCAAATGGGAATAGATCAGTAGGTACCGCTCTGGCGGGAAGGTAATGACGCTCCATGCAGTCATGCCAGCCACATGGCCTTGGAGGCATCTATGGACAAACCAGCTCTTTGGCTTAGACATGGTGATGAGCACCACTCCCCAGAGTCGGACACAACTTAATGTCAGGGGGAACTTTTATCTTTAAGGAATGCAATTTTGAGCATCCACAGACTTTGGTATCCACTGGGGTCCTGGGACCAAACTCCAGTCGTCACCAAGGACCCACTGCAATCAGTCTTGCCAGAACACATTCAACTCTTATCTTCGTTTATGAATGTGTTCATAGCATTCACTTTTTATGCTGGGGTAAAAGGATTTGCAGGAAATTTTTTTCAGATTTGCAGAAAAAAATCTAAAACTGACCACACGATGGAGCTATTTGGCTGCAGCTAAGGATTGGTGGATAGCGAAAAGTATCATAGCTTGAACTTGCGTGCCAGTAGCGCTTGATTCCACATTTCACAAATTGAATTAACTGTCCTTTACGACAGAAGGGTAGGATAAACATTGAATGAATTAGGTGGATATCATGCAGTCTGGATGCTATGAATCAGTATAGCCAGTAATGAGCAATGCTGGATGCTGTAGTCCAGCAAATTCTGGAAGGCCACATAAGCCTGGAAGGCCCCGAACTAAGTAAATTAGGGTTTTAAGGAACCATGTTCAAGATCAACAGATTGTCCTAATCCAGGGAAACCTAAGTGTGTTTGAGAGCTGTTACATCATGATTCCTTTTTCAGAGAAGAAACTTCAGAACACGTGGTAGGTTTTTTTTTTTTTGGTCGTGTCAAGAGTGACTTGAGAAACTGCAAGTCACTTCTGGTGTGAGAGAATTGGCCGTCTGCAAGGACGTTGCCCAGGGGATGCCCGGATGATTTGATGTTTTTATCATCCTTGTGGGAGGCTTCTCTCATGTCCCCATATGAGGAGCTGGAGCTGATAGAGGGAGCTCATCCACCTCTCCCCAGATTTGAACCTGCAACCTGTTGGTCTTCAGTCCTGCCGGCACAGGGGTTTAACCTAATGCGCCACCGGGGGCTCTTACGTGGTAGGTGTTCACATATGACAACCTCATATGTGTATATTTTACAGCATTTTTATAGGTTGCCAGGTTCCAGGAATCTATGTCCAATTAGATTTTAGGAGATACAAGTAAATATCATGAAAAGTGTGCATGTTTGTTTTGTGGTATTTTGTGTGTGTGTGTGTCAGGAGCAATTTGCAAAACTGCAAGTAGCTTCTGGTGTGAGAGAATTGATCGCCTGCAAGGACATTGCCCAGGGGGAACACCTGGGTGTTTTGATGTTTTATCATCCTTGTGGGAGGCCTCTCTCATGTCCCCGCATGGGGAGCTGGAGCTGATATAGGGAGCTCATTCGCACTCTCCATTTGTAGTATTTTTTGGCTACCTGTGTCACTATTGAACCTCCTTTTTGGATATGCTTCTAAATATAATTCTTGCTTCCTAGGAAGATAGAAATAATATATAAAAGACATCAGACCCAATAGATTTCAAAATTTGGCTTGATAAGAACAGCTCTTACATCTTTAGCCCGAAAAAACCCACAAGAATCTTACATCTTTGTTTATCCTATTTGATATTTCCCTGTATAGGATATGAACTCTTTGGGTTCATCAGCCACATGGGAACATCGACAATGAGTGGCCATTACGTTTGTCATCTCAAAAAGGAAGGGAGGTAAGTCATGGTCACGACCACTCGCTTAATTAACTTGACATTCTGTTCACGATTGACGGAAGCTCTTGAGTTTGACATTTCAGGGAAAGATGAAGTAAGTTCCATCAATACGAATGGGATTGGTTTCCAAATTAGGATTGGTATTTAAAAGACAAATGCAATTCTCTTTTACTAGTCAGGAGCCATATAACTCTTCTCCGGTGAGGATACGCAGATGTCATTGTTTCCTATTTCCATTAGGATTTTGTCTCCCGAGGTATACTGCTGTTGTCACCATGCTGTGTTCCTTTTGACAAGATTATCTGCCCTGAGCTTACTGAAGTGAATGTCAGTATCTCAGCGATTTTACTTCTTTGTGCAAAATGTAGCACCTGCCTACAGATCTCTGGACTTAACTCCCAGTCCTCTTAGAACAGGAACAAAGCAGAACTTGGAAAAATTACTGATTTCAGCTACAACTTCTACACTCCCCTGTGGCCGTGCTGATTGTGAAAGTCAGGGAGTCGTAGTCTGGAACAAAGTGCTTTTTCCAAGCTTTGGGGAAAGGTCTGCAAAATGGCAGCAAGTTAAGAACATCAGTTGAGAAAACCTGATAGATCTGAATTAGAATTGGCAGCAAGTTTGTCTGCTTTCGGTGACAAGAAGCATTTCCATCTGATATCTCTATTTTAGCTGAAATATGAAAGTTGTGGCTTAGATTTCAGAGAATGCTTCAGCCAGTGTGATCATGGCTGGAAGATTATGGGAGTTGTAGTAAAAAAGTAAATTTTAATGCTTTGATAATATGATGGCAAATTAGAACTGCCGAGTCTACTAATCTTGATAGACATAGAAAACCATACTTCCTTTGGTTTGCTATGAGTTTTACGGGCTGTATGGGCCGGAGGTTTAACACAGCTGGTAAATCATCAGCAATTATAAGATCTATCAACCAAAAGGTTGCAAGTTTGAATCCCTGGGTTGGCGTGAGCTGCCAATTGTTAGCCTAGCTCATTGTTTACCTAAGCAATTTGAAAACAGCTTTAGCTGTGATTAGCAAAATTAAGTATCGCTAAAAGCGGGGGAGGTGTTTTTCGATGCCATAAAGAAAGAAGATCAGAAAATGCTGGGTGACTAAAAGGAAGGAGGAAGTCCTGACAGCTCTTTGTCATAGAGGTTGGAGCAATAGCACCCCCTGGACTCGAGCCCAACCTTCCATGGCACCTCCTTCTGTTCTGTCTGTCTGTGTATTGTCTATACAAAGTGGCATTTATTTATTATTTATTTATTTATTTATTTATTTCTTGCATTTATTAACCGCCGCTCTCAGCCCTAGGGCGACTCGCGGCGGTGTACAGTACAAAAGACACTTACAAAAAATCAGAACAACAACTAACATCATTAATACATAACATCTTAATTACACTAAAAATCCGCTTCGTCATATTATGGAATCGTAATCAATCTCGTAGTCATAGTTCGTTCCGGTTGTCTTTACTAGTAACCTAGCACTTAGTTGAAAGCCTGCTCAAAGAGCCAAGTCTTCAGGCCCTTACGAAAGGCCATGAGGGAGGGGGCCTGTCTAACGTCAGCAGGGAGGGAGTTCCACAGCCGGGGGGCTACCACCGAGAAGGCCCGCTCCCTCGTCCCAGCCAAACGTGCCTGTGAGGCAGGCGGGATCGAGAGAAGGGCCTCCCCGGATGATCTCAAGGTCCTCGTGGGCTCGTAGGCCAAGATGCGGTCCGCAAGGTATTTTGGGCCGGAACCGTTTAGGGCTTTGTAGGATAACACCAGCACCTTAAATTGGGCCCGGTAGCAAATCGGCAGCCAGTGGAGCTGGAACAACAAGGGCGTTGTATGCTCCCTGCGTCCCGCTCCTGTTAGTAACATGGCTGCCGCGCGCTGGACTAGCTGAAGCTTCCGGGCCGTCTTCAAGGGCAGCCCCACGTAGCGTTGCCGTTTATATGTATTTTGATCCTCCCTGAATCCCCTTTGGGGTGAGAAGGGCAGAATATAAATAAAGTATTGCTTTTGAAGGCAAAATATCAGGAGAGAATGCCTCTAGAACATGGCCATATAGCCCAAAAAAACCTACAACAACCCAGTGATTCTGGCCATGAAAGCCTTCGACAATACATATGTTGTTGTTGCTGTTGTTATTATTATGTTCCAGAAGCATTCTCTCCTGACGTTTTGCCCACATCTATGACAGACATCCTCAGAGGTTGTGAGGTCTGTTGGAAACTGGACAAGTGTCCTGATTTTGAAGTTTTTTAAACAAGTACTGGTAGCAAGATTTTGTTCATTTGCATGGTTTCCTTCTTTCTGTTGAAATTGTCCACGTGCTTGTGGATTTCAGTGGCTTCTCTATGTAGTCTGACATGTTGGTTGTTAAGAGTGGTCCAGCATTTCTGTGTTCTCAAATAATATGCTGTATCCAAGTTGGTTCATCAGGTGCTCTACTATGGCTGACTTCTCAGGTTAAATTAGTCTGCAGTAATTAAAGATTAACACCCAAAAACAGGAGAAATTCAGACAAGACTCAGTCAGGGCAGCTAACACCTCTCAACAAAGGATCCCGCCAGGCGGCAACCAGCCAAGCTTTGAAGCTGCAAGGCCAGTAAATGCTAACCAAAGTGGCTAATTCCAACATTCACACTTGCATCAAATGGACAAAAGTTATTTCTGTTACCCTGGACATTCTACAGATATATAAACCTCACTTGCCTAGTTTCCAACAGACCTCACAACCTCTAAGGATGACTGCCATAGATGTGGGCGAAACATCAGGAGAGAATGCTTCTGGAACTTGTCTATACAGCCCGAAAAATTCACAGCAACCCAGTGATTCCGGCCATGAAAGCCTTTGACAACACAATGCTGCCTTTGCAATGGCATTTTCCTTCTTAGGCACCCCAGGAATTGGGCATTTAATGTAACTTTCATGAGGCTTACTCTCTCTTCCTTCCTTCCCCATCTCTCTTTTCAGGTGGGTGATCCACAATGACCTTAAAGTTTGTGCCTCCGAACGACCACCTCGAGAGTTGGGATATATTTACTTCTACCGCAGGATATCAAGTTAGGCCTCATTGATGTCTCCTGGCCTTAAGAAGCCATAAGCCTTTTTATTCTGCCAAAAATATTGTTTGAAACAAGCAAAGCCTTTGGACTGCCAAAAAAAAAAAAAAAGGCAAATATTTGGGTACTATTTATAGCTTAAATCAGGATCAGTCATTTGATGCCTTCTTAAACTTTAGTGGAGAAATTTCTGTTTAGGTCACAGTGTGTTTGAGGATTTAACAATATATACACATTTTGTGGAGACCATAAGACTGTTCTAATCACACGAGGAGTTTGCAGCAAGCAACTGGGAATCGTAAAGCCATCCTAATCTCCAAAAAACCCACACTTCTTACCTCACAGCTCGGTTTTGACCGTCAAAAATTATTGCAAAGTCAACAATCATAGTCAGTGACTTTGTTTGACTTGGAGTTTGCCACTGTTCTGAATGGAAGTCATTAAATTTTTGGTGAAGAATCTGTTTGCTGGCATGGAAATTGCTTAGCTTTGAGCTTTGTATCTCCATGATTAGGAGGGAAAATGAATATAGATCTACATATCCTGGTATGTAACAGCAGCTCTGAATATTTTGAAAATATCAGTGCTTGTAGTTAAGGTTAATCCCTGAGGCTAAAGTTGCCAACAGAAAATTTGGAGGTTCATTCTTATTTTACTTGGTGCTTTGGTTGGTTTGAAAACATATCTCAAATGTCTCTGCCTTGACCCACCACTTTGGGAGCTCCCTAAGAAGAAGTGCTCATTTCATCAGTTTCACTGGATCAGTATGCACATTTGTATGTGTGTATCTGCTCCTCCCATTGGGAAATAAATGTTCTCATGTGCAAGAGCTCTGTGTAAGCATTTTAAGTTCACGTGAGGCTGTGGATCAGCAAGCTGCAATTTGGTTGTTTTTCCTTGGTTGGTGAGGATTGGAACACAACATTATACCTTCATAATGCTTGCAAGTACTCACCTTGTGCCTAGTGTTTCTTGTGCCTTCTTGCCTTGTTCCATGTGAGCCCAGAGCCCCTAAGTCTGCAAAAATTCACAATGGGATGAGGAAGAATTAATGTGATGAGAACCTACAATTGTGTTGGATCAGGTAGGATCCCTTGCCAGAAAGAAGCTATAATGGCTGTCACGTGGGCTATGAACTGAAATTGCACATATTTTGGGTTTAATGTGGACATCTTTTATTTTACTGTTTTATACCACTCAAGAATATGTATCATATATTGAATTTTATACCATTCAAGACTATGTATCACACACTTCTTTTCCATGTTTTTTTTAAATGGGAGGTTTTTGAAGAGAACGTATACGAAATGCAACTCTCTTCAGAATTAGCGATGGAGAAATTAATTTTCATCAATGTGTAGCCATGCATATTCTTCTGTTTCTGGTAAGTGCTGAGTTCTTTAAAAAAATCTTCCTTGTACAGAAGTCGAGTTTGATAAAACTGCTGATGAGGTTACCCTAATTTTAGAATTCTAAAAAAATCCCCAACAATGATAGTGACTTATCAGCAGTTTGCAAAGGAGCCAATCACCTGAATTAGTTGGATTGATCTTTCTAAAAGCTTGCCCTCACTGTTCTTTCTTTCCACCTACACCCCAGAATGTCTTTTTGGACTTTTAAATGGTTTTGCAAAGGGTTCTAGTTGATTATTTGAACTGTTGAGCTTGAGAGGTTTCTTTCCCCTTTTTCTCAATTTCATGAAGAAAACTATGCCCTTTGGAACTGAACCAAGGTACAGTAGAGTCTCGCTTATCGGATGTAAATGGGCGGCAGAATGTTGACTACACGAAAATGTCAGATAATATCGAGTCTTCTACTGTTACCCATACGATGCAATGCTAGAATACTAACAACATGGACTCAAAGGGGTTTATTTTTTATTTTTTGTCGTGTCAGGAGTGACTTGAGGAATTGCAAGTCGCTTTTGGTTAAAGGGTTAAGGCAAGGCAACACCTCAGGGCTAGAGCAGCCCAACAGGAAGTGCCCGGATCATAGAATCATAGAATCCTAGAATCAAAGAGTTGGAAGAGACCTCATGGGCCATCCAGTCCAACCCCATTCTGCCAAGAAGCAGGAATATTGCATTCAAATCACCCCCTGACAGATGGCCATCCAGCCTCTGTTTAAAAGCTTCCAAAGAAGGAGCCTCCACCACACTCCGGGGCAGAGAGTTCCACTGCTGAACGGCTCTCAGTCAGGAAGTTCTTCCTTGTGTTCAGATGGAATCTCCTTTCTTGTAGTTTGAAGCCATTGTTTCGTACTACAAGAAAGGAGATTCCACAGTAGCAGATTAATTCAAACTACAGTAGAGTCTCTCTTATCCAACTTTGCAGAAGATGCAGAAGAGGAGCGTAGAAATCACAGAGGGAAGGAGGGAGGACACTTCTGCTTCTGGTCCTGCCTCTTTCCCCCCTTTCCTCCCTCCTCCTTGTCTTGCCTTTTTCACTTATTGAGAATGGAGACAGAGTTGGGGAGCGCTCCTTTAATTGAAGGGGAAATGCTGGAGGAAAAGGGGGCGTCGGATAAGATGGAATGTCGGATAAGCAAAGGTTGGATAAGAGAGACTCTGCTGTAGTTTGAATTAATCTGCTACTGTGGAAATTAACTGGCATTTCTAAATAAAGATATAACGACACGCTTCTTCATACAAGATGTTCAGGAGCTGTATGTCCATACACAGATACTTATACAGTGTGGAAAGTTTTGAGCTTCAGGTATTTCTTGAAACTTTAATCCCTTAAAGCATTGGATAGCACATTGCTGCCTTGAAACCAATATTCAGAGAAGGCAGAATAAGGCTTTCTAATGCAACAGCGTTGTCAGTAGTTGGATCCAGCGCTTGTATTTTAAGTCTTGTTTCTTCCTCTGCTCATTCCTGCCTTGCTTCACTTACCAAAACTGCTGCAGGCCTATTGGGATGCTCTTCTATCTCATAGCCGGATCTGGCTCAGTTTTAGGTCCCAGGCTCCCAGCCCATTTGAATGCAGCACAACAGTTGACCTTGTGCTTCTTTTCTTTCTAGTGTGGGTAACCTGTCTGGAATAATCATCTTATTCTGATGATTCCAGCATCATATTTTGCAGAGTCTGGGTTTGCCTTATGGTGCTTGCATTTCACTTTATTTAGATGAGACCTCAGAACTGATGGAGAAATGCAACCAAATGACCCTTTCTTCCATCTTGTGACCTCAAGGGCTAGCTTGAAGCAGTTGAGAACTGTTTTGCTAACTTTCTCTTTACGGGTTAAAATAATTGGAACTCTACATCTACAATAAGATTCTTCTTTCTAAAACAAAAGCAGGTTGTTAATGTGCGTGAGTGTGTAGGACATGGGGGTGTGTATTGCAAAGTTTAATATCAAAGCAAAAAAAGACAGTCTTAAATGTCAGACTGTTCTTTAAAATGTCATGCAGCTGTTGTGACAGGTGTTTTGTTATTGCTGCAGTTTCTTAAATCTTTCAGTGCACCACACAACTCCCTTGTCTGTATATTCACACATATTTTATTGAAGAGAGGTTTTGGAAGATCATTCAATCATGTGATGAATAAAAACAGTGCAGAACGATGAATACGACAACATTCAATCACTGTCAGAAGGCTTGCAGAGATGCATTTTGCCCAAAATCTCTTTCTTTCACCACATGATACTATTTATATTTTATTCTTCTGCATACAATGTGGAAGTCTGAAATACCTGACTCAGATGCAAGTGTACAATCTTATCAGAAATGTGTTCTTTGTCAGCCTTTTTGAAATGAAACAGGATGCTCATAAATATTGAGTATTATGGTGTTGTCTCCCCATTTACCTTAACCAAATTTTAATGGGATGTTTTGGTTTAACATCCTGCTGTATTAGGACAGGATCAGTATGCACCAGGCTTGTACAACCTGCAACCCACGATGCCTATGAACACAAAACTGTAAACTTACTTAAAACGTTATGGGTGGGGTTGTAACTCGGTTGCACGATTCTCGAGTGTGAACTTTGTGGATGACAACAGAATGGAAGTATGCTACATCTACAAATGTTACAAATACAACCATCCAAGTATTATTTGTAATTTGCATTATAATTGCTAACAGTCCAACCAGAAGACGTGCGTAACCATTTTTAAATACCCGCCAAATGGGGTGGCACATATTTAGGATTATGCAAGGACTTTTTTTTTTGCATATCTGTGGTGACAGATAATCATGAAAATTATGGTCAAAGCTCCCCCCCCCCCATTATGATTAGTGTTAGCGTATTTTACATGTGGTCCAAGACAATTATTCTTCTGTCAATGTGGCCCAAGGAAGCCAAAAGGTGGACAACCCTGATGTACACAAAGCCTGTAGCCTCAGTGGGTGACTTCCCTTTTATGGTACAATTACCAAAATGAAAACTCAGTAATCAGTGTTAGATGTATGGTTGTTGATTATGAGTCAGTTCTTATGTCATGCTTTTAAAGCCTTGGTTCTGCCCACTTCACTCGCATTGCAGATGTAGTGTAGCTTCAGCACAATGCACCAAATGAGTATTGGAGAGCACAGCCCGTATATCCATGTGAGATGACTTCCTAGGAGCTTCCAACTAAATCTAAGCATTTGAAAAATGTGTTTGTGTTTTGCGGGAGTTTCTTTGTGGTCCTTTGTGGAGGATTCCTCATGAGGAATATTTATGCTTATTTTATTTAAGTATGGTTGGTAGCCAAGACTGTTTATCCTTTGCTCCCAGTGCCAGCAATTGGGATATTGAGCATCATGTTTCGAATCAACATTTTGGAGAAGCAGAAAAGCCCATTCAAACTTGAAGCATGCATATTTAAGAAAGCATCCTTCATCCATATAGAATGTCCCTATTTTAAGCCATCTGCACAAAGAAAAATAAATGTCATGGGTGCCTAAACCATTCAGGCCTGATGTCTGTTTTGCTGATGAGCATTAACTGAAATTTCTCTTACCATACATAAATATAATTGAAATCAATGCAATTGTTTAGAATGTGAGCCAGATATTATATTGGAATAAAAGGAGAATATTGATGTTTGCTGTAACCAATAGTAAAACCTTCCTCAAAGAGGTTTTCTGCATATGTACCAAGGATGGACAGAGACGTACAATAACATTTTAGCAGAACTTCTGTAGAAAAATTCTCCAGTGGATTATATACAGGGATTAATTTTACATTGCAGATAAGATTCACATCGATTCTGTTTTCATTATGTTGCATAATGGGTTAAAATGCATTCTTAACATATCGCCTTCCATACAAAATTGTTTATTTTTTTATCATAATTTATTTTGCTGGATTTGCAAACTAAGGAGGAAAGGGTTTTCTGAAATAGTATTTTCCGTGGCCTTTTCAACCCAACTGTTAATCCAATTAGAGTAAATTTGTTGACTCAGTACAGCTTACATAAATGTTGACTTACCAAATTTCCATTGATTTAATGGGTTTAATTTTTCCATTAGTTGA